CTGCTGCTGCTGCTGCTGCTTTGCTGCTCCGAATCATCTGCAGCAAAACCCCCTCGCCGCACTTCCTCGAGAGCCATTTCCATCCGCAGCAGCGCAGCACGATAAGCAGCAGCACTGAGGCCCCCTCGGCCCACAACGCTGCTGCTGCTGCTGCTGCTGCTGCTGCTGCTGCTGCTGCTGTTTGCTGCGTTGCTGCCGCTGCTGCTCGCGGTGGAGCCTTTGCCCTTGCTGCTGCTGCTGCTGCTGCTGTTGCTGGTGGCGGCGCTGTCTGCGCGCGCCCCGCCCTCTCCTCCCTCCCTGCTGCCGCCGCCGCTGCTGCTGCTGCTGCTGCTGCTGCTGCTGCTGCTGCTGCTGCTGCTGCTGCTGGCGTTCCAAGAGTAAGTGCCGTCGAGGCCCGCGCCCAGCAGCAAAGCGCCAGTCTGTTTGTCTTGGTAAAGAATTTGAGACTCTGGCTTGAAGAGCCAAAAGCCCGGGGAATAGCTGCGGGGGTTTTTGCTGCTGCAGTTGAGAGCAGCAGCAGCAAAGTCGGGGCCTTCTGCTGCTGCTGCTGCTGCTGCAGGCAGGCAGCTCGCAGCAGCAAACTCCCCCTCCGGCAAGTGCAGATACGCCCACTGGCTCAGGTACTCTTCGTAGAAGGGGCGGTCCAGTGCAGCAGCAGCAGCAGCCACCCCACGGGGTCTTCTTCTGCTGGAACTGCTGCTGCTTCTTCGGACTTGCCCATTTCCTCCGCGTCTTCAGCAGCAACAGCAGCAGCAGAGTCGTCTGCTGCTGCTCCTGCTGCTGGCACTGTGGCTTCGCTGCAGCAATTATAAAAGTCCAGTTGTGCTGCTTCCAGCAGCAAACAAGAACTATAAAAACGCAAGAAAGGACTCCGCAGCACAAAGTCTGCTGCTGCTGCTGCTGTCTCTCCAAAAAACAGCAAACACTCCCCCAAAGACAAGCCCACCAGCCTCGACTCCATGCACCCACACTCCTCCTGCTGCTGCTGCTGCTGCTGCTGCTGCTGCTGCTGCACCTGCTGCACCTGCTGCTGCTGCACCTGCTGCTGCTGCTGGTGGGGCTGCTGCTGCTGCTGGTGGGGCTGCTGCTGCTGCTGGTGGGGCTGCTGCTGCTGCTGCTGGGGCTGCTGCTGCTGCTGCTGGGGCTGCTGCTGCTGGGGCTGCTGCTGCTGCTGCTGGGGCTGCTGCTGCTGCTGCTGCTGCTGAGGCTGCAGAAGGGTAATGGGCTTGTCCCAGGGGCCGTCGGGCACGGAGAGGGCCTTTGCTGCTGCCATGGAGGTTCCTGCTGCTGCTGCTGCTGCTGCTGCTGCTGCGCCTGTCTTGAGCTTTTGCACCACAGACACAGCAGTTTCGGCTAACGAAGCGTCTGCTGCTGCTGCTGCTGCTGCTGCTGCTGCTGCTGCGGGTGCTGCGCTGCTAGTGCACGCCCGAATTGCTGCAGCAACAGCAGCAGCAGCAGCTTTTGCTGCGTCTCCGCACTTGCTGCTGCTGTTGCTGCTGTTGCCTGTGTGGCTCTGCTGCTGCTGCGGCTCCTCCTCAGAGCTCCTCCCCTCCGCAGCAGCAGCAGCAGCAGCAGCAGCAGCAGCAGCAGTGGCTGCCTTGTGTCTGTTTTGCTTCCTCCTGCGAAGAGCCCTGAGTTCCTGCTGCTGCGTGATGGGCAGCAGCAACTCCGGAGGCAGCAGCAAATCTGCTGCTGCATCTCTTCGGGGCGGCAGCAGCAGCACTCTTCTGTTGACGCTGTTGCTGCGGCACAAAAACCGCAGCTGCTTCTCAGCAGCAAATTCCAACAACGCCCGCCGCTTCTGCTCTGCTGCTGCTGCTGCTGCTGCTGCTGCTGCTGCTGCTGCTGCTGCTGGCTCGGAGGCGGGTGCTGCGGGTGCGGAGTCTGCTGCTGCTAGCTCCTGTGTCTCTGCTGCTGCTGCTGGTTCTGCTGCTGCTGCTGGTTCTGCTGCTGCTGCTGGTTCTGCTGCTGCTGGAGGAGGTCTTGACCGTGGCTCAGCGCCAGCAGCAGCAGCAGCAGCAGCAGCAGCAGGGGGAGCAGCAGCAGCAGCAGCAGCAGCACTTTGTCGAATGACAGGTTTGAAAAAGCCAAGGAGACAAAAAAGTCTGTCTCTGTCGTGGCTTCTTCTTGCTTCCTTTCCCAGCAGCAAATGCTCCCCTGTCAAGTCCACGCTTTCAAACAAGTGCTGCTCCCGGTACAAACCTGCAGCAGCAGCAGCAGCAGCAGCAGCAGCAACAGCAGCAGCAGCAGCAGCAGCAGCAGCAGCAGCAGCAGCATGCAGCACCAAGAAGCAGAAGAGCTAAGTCACTGGAAAGGCTTGCAGCGCCGACGCCAGCAGCAACTGCAGCAGCAGCAACTGCAGCAGCAGCAACTGCAGCAGCAGCAGCAACTGCAGCAGCAGCAACTGCAGCAGCAGCAACTGCAGCAGCAGCAACTGCAGCAGCAATACCTGCTCTGGATTTTGGGTTTGAAAGAACAAACTGCTGCGCGTGGTGCAGCGACGGAGCAGCAAAAGTCATGTAGTCCGCCACATACGGCGATTCTGCTGCTGCTGCTGCTGCTGCTGCTGCTGCTGCTGCTGCTGGCGTAGGCGCCGCGAGCTTTTCCAGCTTCCCCGGCACATGGTAAGGAGCAGCAGCAGCACCGTCAGCAGCAGCAGCACCGCCAGCAGCACCCGCAGCAGCAGCAGCAGCAGCAGCAGCAGCAGGTTTGAGCTCGTGTCTGATGCTGCGAAGCTGCAGCAGCCACAAAACTCTTGCTGCTGCTTCTTGCTGCTGCGCCGAAGCCCTCGCCCAACTCAAGTGGCTCAAGTGCAGCCGCCTGTGGCCGTAGACGTCCCACAGACACAGCGCCAGCTGCTGCTGCTGCTGCTGCTGCTGCTGCTGTTGTTGCTGCTGCTGCTGTTGCTGCTGCTGCTGCTGCTGCTGCTGCTGCGTTTTGGGCCTGAGGGCTTCCTGCTGCTGCTGAAAGCACCTGATCTCCTCAGGCGTCAGCCAAGGTGCTGCTGCTGCTGCTGCTGCTTCGTGCTGCTGCAGCTCCGCATAGACCAGCTGCTGCTGCTGCTGCTGCACCCCCAGGGCTTCTGCTGCATTTGCTGCTGCAGGCGGCTCCATGGAGACGCGCAGCACGGGCGCTTCCCGCTGCGCCTGCAGCAGCTGCTGCAGCTGCTGCTGCTGCTGCAGCTCCTGCTGCTCCTGCTGCTGCTGCTGCTGCCGCTGCTCTGCTTTGCTGCGGCTCATGTCTAACATTACATGCCACGAGGGCTTCTTAGCATGCAGCTGCAGCGACACCCGACGAACTCTGCTGCTGCTGCTGCTGCTGCTGCAGCTGCTGCTGCAGCTGCTGATGCTGCTGCTGCTGCTGCTGCTCACCACACGAAATGCACCCACGAAGTCTTGCAGAAGCAGCAGCAGCAGCAGCAGCAGCAGCAGCAGCGCTGCAGCAGCACTGCTGCCTCCTACTGTGCGGGCCATTTCCACATAGGGCGAAACGAAAGACACGCAGCTGCAACAGCAGCAGCAGCAGCAGCAGCAGCAGCTGCTGCTGCTGCTGCTCAGGTCCAGCCTCAAAGACAGCTGCAAGCCTTCAATACATTAACATTATGCAATTGCCGCTGCTGCTGCTGCTGCTGCTGTTGCTGCTGCTGCTCTTGCTGCTGCTGCTGCTGCATCTCCCATCAGCTGCCACAGCGCAGGGACGCAGGACGCTGCTGCAGCACCTTCATGCTGATGAGTTTGCTTCCGCTTGCTGCTGCTGCTGCGGCTACTGCTGGTGTTGCTGCTGCTGCTGCTGCTGCTGCTGCTGCTGCTGCTGCTGCTGCTGAAGACACATGTCTCAACACACTGCCCGGTCCTGCCGCTGCTGGCGGCACACAAGCCCAGTCTAGTGTGAAGGGTTTAGCTAGGGTTTCAGTAGGGTTTAAGGTTTAGGGTTTGGACAAGGGTTTAGGGTTTAGGGTTTAGGGTTTAGGGTTTGGAGGTTAGGGTTTATCGCTGGCTTTTTGTGTGCCAAGGCGCGTGTCTGCTGCGGCTGCTGCAGTGTACATACACTGCAAAACAAGTCAAAACTTTTAATTTAATAAGACACTAACACTGCAGCAGCAGCAGCAGCCACAGCCCCAGCTGCAGCCCCAGCAGCAGCAGCAGCCGCAGCAGCAGCAGCAGCAGCGTAGCAGCAGCAGCAGCAGCGCGCAAAGTCACATGTGCATGCACGGGCCTTTGGGCCCCGAATAAGAATTGCTGCTGTCTCCCCACTAAAAAGAATAAATTAAAACTAAGAATTAGTTTTTTTCGGAGCAGCAGCAGCAGCAGCAGCAGCAGCAGCAGGTAGAAGGACCCAGCAGCTAGGATGCTCGTGTAGCTCCGGCTGTACGTGCACACCGCAGCAGCAGCAGCAGCAGCAGCTGCTGCTGCAGCATTTCGAGGCGCCTTCGGCTTTCCCTAACTCTAGCGACTGCCGGCAGCAGCAGCAGCAGCAGAATCAGCAGCAGCAACCGCAGCAGCAGCAGCAGCACCAGCAGCAACAGCAACGGCGGCGCCACTAGCAACAGCAGCAGCAAGATTCTCAGTAGCAGCAGCAGCAGCATTAGCAGAAATAGCATTGGCAGCGGCATGGCAGCAGCAACAACATTTGCAGCAGCAGCAGCAGCAGCAACAGCAGCATCCGCAGCAGCATTACAAGCAGCAGGGACATTAGCAACAACATTAGCATTAGCAGCAGCAACTTCAGCAGCACCAGCAGCAGCAGCAGCAGCAGCAGCGGCAGAGGACAGAGGCAGCCACAGCAGCAGCCGCTGCAGCAGCATCCACAGCAGCAACACCACTTCAACACCAGCAGCAGCAGCAGCAGCAGCAGCAGCAGCAGCAGCAAGAAGACGACGATGCATTGTCCCTGAGGCTTGTTTGTAGCAGCAGCTCCTTGACTTCGAAGGGGATGCAGCACCGCAACAGCGCGTGGGGCTCTGCTGCTGCTGCTGCTGCTGCTGCAGCCCCCGCTGCAGCAGCAGTGCTTCCTGCAGCAGCAGCAGCAGCAGCCACGCCGTCTTTGCCGACGCCCGCAGCAGTAGGCGCAGCAGCAGCGGAAGCAGCAGCAGCAGCTGCCGCTGCAGCGGGGCAAGAGCTGCCGCCGGGTGCTGCTGCTGCTGTTGCAGCAGCAGCAGCAACAGCAGCAGCACGGCAGCAGCTGCCTGCTGCAGCACAGTACACACCCCACAGCAGCCACTTGCAATATGCCACGCGGCCGCTGCAGCAGCTGCTGCAGCAGGCCCTTTACCGCTGCCGCAAAGACTTGCATTCTTGCTGCCGCGTGGCGCAGCAGCAGCAGCAGCTGCTGCAGCAGCAGCTGCAGCAGGCAGCAGCAAAGGGCGAGGGCGAGCGCTTCGCAGCCACGGAAGCAGCAGCAGCAGCAAGCAGCATTCTGCGCACTGCTTTGCTGCAGTACAGCAGACACAGCAGAGAGCTGCTGCTGAAGCTGCTGCTGCTGCACACCCAGTGGCCCGTGCTGCAGCAGCAAGTCGACAGTCTGCTGCAGGAGACTGCCCGCATGCAGCAGCAAAAGTTCAAAATCAGGGATGTCATACTTACCGTAAGCTGCTGCTGCTGCTGCTGCTGCTGCTGCTGCTAGTGTGGCTTCTGCTGCTGCTGCTGCTGCTGGTCGTGTTGTGTTGGTGCTCGGCGGGCTCCTGCTGCTGCTGCTGCAGCTGCTGCTGCTGCTGCTGCTGCTGCTGTTTGGCGCTTTGGCGCTGCCGCGGGTCGCGACTGTGCTGCAGCTGCCGCTGATGCAGCAGCAGCAGCAGCAGCAGCAGCAGCAGGGGGTTTGCATGCTTTCATGCTGCGCGTGCTGCAGCAACAAATGCAGCTGCAGCAGCAGCAGCTGCAGCTGCTGCCGCCGCCCTGCCCTGTTGATGTGGCTATGGAAGTTCTTGCCACTGGGACTTACCAGCGGCTGCCGCTGCTGCTGCAGCAGCAGCTGCTGCTGCTGCACGTGCAGCAGCAGCAGCAAACCCCGGGAGCAGCAGATGAGGACCTTGACGGCATTGAAGAGGCTTATCAGCACCTAGATCGTGGGTTTGCTGCTGCTGCTGCTGCTGCTGCTGCTACTGCTGCTGCTGCTGCTGCTGCTTTTTCTGCGGCTGCTGCTGCCGCGCCTGCTGGTGGTGCTGCTGCTGTGGCTGTTGCTGCTGCTGCTGCTGCTGCTGCTGCTGCTGCTGCCTGTGTCGGCCTTCTCATGCTTGGCGTTGCTGCTGCTGCGAGCTTTCGAGTTGCTGCTGCTGCTGCAACCGCATGTCAGCCTGTTGCCTTCGTGGCTACACGCTGCTGCTGCTGCTGCTGCTGCTGCTGCTGCAGCTGCTGAGTGCGTGGAGACTCGGAAGCGGCTGCAGGACTCTTTGCTGCTGCAGCTGCACACTGCGTCGCTGCAGCAGCAGGATCAGGTGTCTGTACACCTGAGAAGCAACGGCAGCATTCATTTGCTGCTGCAGCACCTTTGCGCAATGGAGGCCGTCTCTGACATTGCCAGGCAAGCCAGCTAGCTAGCCAGCTAGCTAGCTAGCTAGCTAGCCAGTTAGCTAGCTAGCTAGCTAGCTAGCTAGTCAGCTAGCTAGCCAGTTAGCTAGCTAGCGAGCGAGCTAGCTATTTGGCCAGCTAGTCAGCCAGCTAGCTATCTAGCTAGTTAGTTAGCTAGCTAGCTAGCTGGCCAGTTGGCTAGCTAGCCAGTTAGATTAACTAGCTAGCTAGCTATCCAACAAGCTAGCTAGCTGGCTAGCCAGTTGGCTAGCTAGCTAGCTAACTAGCCAGTTAGCTAATCAGCCAGCTAGCTGTTTAGCTAGCTAGTCACTTGGCTAGCTAGCCAGCTAGCTAGCTAGCGTGGGTGTCTGTAGTTGCATGCGCGCGGCTAGCTAGCCTTATGGTGGAGATCTGCTGCTGCTGCTGCTGCTGCTGCTGCAGTTTGCAGGTGCTGCGGGTGAACCTGATTTTGCTGCTGCGCCTTGGCTTCGCCGTTTCAGCAGCAACAGCTGCAACTCCTGCTGCTCCTGCTGCTGCTGCAGCAGCAGATTTGAATGCACTCTCAGTGGCTATCTTCAGGCAAAACACCAGGGCAGCTGTTGAAAGAGCAAATGTAAGTTTGCTGCTGCTGCTGCTGCTGCTGCTGCTGAGGCAGTTGCTGCTGCTGCAGCTGCTGTGGCTGTTGCTGGACAAGTTCGGAGAAGTGCTGCTAACTAACTGTGCTGCTGCTGCTGCTGCTGCTGCTGCTGTGGCTGTTGCTGGACAAGTTCGGAGAAGTGCTGCTAACTAACTGTGCTGCTGTTGCTGCTGCTGCTGCTGCTGCAGCTGGAGCGAGGCCGCGTAGAGCTAGCAGAGTTAAAGGCGAAAACAGCAGCAGCAAACCGCAGCAGCAGAGAGGACCTGCTGCAGCAGCTTCGGGTTATTCAAGAGGCAGCAGCCCGGCTCGGTGTGGCGCTGCCAGAAGAGGCCATTGCTGCTGCTGCTGCTGCACAAGATGGCGATGGAAGCAGCAGCAGCGCTAGCAGCAGCAGCAGCAGCAGCAGCAGCAGCAGCAGCTCCATCGCGGTGCGGCCGGACAGCCATGAGGCCTCCAAAAGCGAGATGACGGGCGGAACTGCGCAAGCAGCAGCAGCAGCAGCAGCAGAGGCGGAAGCAGCACCCGAAGCAACAGCAGCAGCAGCAGCAGAAGCAGCAGCAGAAGCTGCAGCAGCGGAGGCGCCGCTGCAGCCCTTTGACGCCTTCGGGTGTCTCTACCGGGAGACGCGGCGGGTGCTGTTTTGCTGCTGCTTAGATTTGCTGCAGCAGCAGGCGATGCGGCACCTTGCCGTGGCAGCAGCACTTGCTGCCAGCAGCAGCAGCAGCAGCAGCAGCAGCAGCAGGAGGCACTGCAGGGAGTCGCTCCTGCACTTCGTGGTGTATGTGGCTTTGTCTCACAGCGGCGCAATTGTCTCTTCCGGTGTCTCCTCAGAAGCAGCAGCAGCAGCAGCAGCAGCAGCAGCAGCAGCTCCTGCTGCGGACTCCGCTGCTACTGCTGCTGACGCAAACGCAGAAGCAGCAGAGGACTCGGCGCTGCAGCTGGGCGAGTCTGCTGCTGCTGCTGCAGGCCCGACTGCAGCAGCAGCAGGAGCCTTCGTGCCTCTGTCAACAGCAGCAGCTGCTGCTGCTGCTGCTGCTGCTGGGGGCCCCGCAAGGCGAGTGCTGCTGCAGCTTTCTATCTTGAGGGATTTTGATGTCTCTTGTGGGGGCCTGCGGCCTGCTGTATACTTTGCTGCCCGGCCAGCAGCAGCAGCAGCAGCAGCAGCAGCAGAGGAGGCAGCAGCAGCAGCAGCAGCAGCAGGCCCGCAACACAGCGTGCAGCCCCACGCGGCCTTCTCTGCAGATGGCGGCCTGGCTATGGAGGAAGCAGCGGGCGATCCAGCAGCAGCAGCAGCAGCAGCAGCAGCAGCAGCAGCGCAGCAGCAGCAGCAGCAGCAGGAGCTGCGGTCAGAAGGAGTAACTCTGCAGTTCTCTGTGAACCTACAGACCTTCAACGAGCTGTCTGTACACCTGTGGCCGCTGCACTCCCTGGTGGAGCTGCAGCAGCAGCAGCAGCAGCAGCAGCAGCAGCAGCAGCAGCAGCAGCAGCGACTGACTGCAGCAGACATGTTCGCGCTGCGAGTGCTGCAGCAGCAAAGCTGTTGGCGCAACCTGCAGCAGTGGCGGGGAGACCGCATGCAGCTGGAGCAGTGGCTAGCTGAAGCAGCAGCAGCACTGGGTCTGCTGCAGCTGCTGACGCTGGCCTTCTACCTTTCTCCCGCTGCAGCAGCAGCAGCAGTTGCTGCTGCTGCTGCTGCGCCGCCGCCGCCTGCTGCTGCACTTGCTGCTGCTGCTGCCCCCGACTCCCTCCAGATTATAGTCGAGGGCGCGCAAATACCCCCGCCAAGCCCCGCCCCCTCCCAGCAGCAGCAGCAGCAGCAGCAGCAGCAGCAGCAGCAGCAGCAGCAGCAGCAGATATTTGGCGGTTCCAGCTCGCTGCGGCTGATGTACAGCGGACTTGAGTGCAGCTTGAGTGTCTCAATGACTAGTGGGGCTTTGCTGCTGCAGTGCTTGTGGCTGCCGCCGCGGCTGCAGCAGCTGCTGCAGCAAGCAGCAGCAGCACACGTGGGCGATCTGCTGCTGCTGCTGCCGCTGCTGCGCCGCCTTGCCTTCTGCATGCGCTTTGCGCAGCAAGCAGCAGCAGCAGGAGTCGCGGTGCTGCCAGCAGCAGAGGTAGGAGCAGCAAGATGGCGCGCGCCAGCAACAGCAGCAACTGCTGCTGCTGATGCTGCTGCTGCTGCTGCTGCTGCTGCTGCTGCACCACACCCAGAGAGTGTCTTCGCTACAGAAGCAATAGACGCGCTGCAGCAGCTGCTGCACTGTGGGCAGCACCAGGGAACTGCTGCTGCTGCTTCCAAGCCTCAGCAGCAGCAGCAGCAGCAGCGCAGCGTAGCTGCTGACAGCAAGACTGCAACGCTGTTTCTACGCCTTAAGCTGCAGCAGCAGCAGCAGCAACAGCAGCAGCAGCAGCAGCAGCAGCATGCAACTGTCGCTGTTGTTGTAGATGGTGAGCGCCGCATTTCGGCCACTTACTTGCTTGTTGCTGCTGGCAGCAGAGGCGCAGCAACAGCAGCAGCAGCAGCAGCAGCAGCACTTGGAGTGCCTGGTGCTGCTTCCAGCAGCAGCAGCGCGGTGAAGCAGCAAGGCAGCATATTCGCCACCTTGCGATTGGCGCATCCTCCTCTTAGCCTGCAGCTGCAGCAGCAGCAGCAGCAACAGCAGCAACAGCAGCAGCAACAGCAGCAGCAGCAGAAAATGGAGCAGGAGATTAGCATGTGTGTGACGGTGCAGCAATACGTTGCAGCGCTGCAGCAGCTGCTGCAGCAGCAGCAGCCAGTGGTTGCTGCGCTGCAGCAGCTAGCGCAGCAGCTGCCAGCCTCAGTGGATTGCTGCTTAGAGCCTTTCTGTCCGGCTGACGAGGGTGCTGCTGCTGCTGCTGCTGCTGCATGCGCAGCAGCAGCAGCAGCAGCAGGCGATGAGGAACCTTCAATAGCAGAGATTTCGCTGACGAGAGAACTGCTGCTGCAGCAGCTGCAGGCAGCTAAAATTGAGGGCGAGAAGGCGGAGCAGGGTCTGCAGCAGCAGCAGCAGCAGCTGCAGCAGCTGCAGCAGCAGCAGCAGCAACAGGGGCAGGAAGGACTGTTGCTGCAGTGGAGCTTGCAGCAGCAGCCAACAGTGCTGCTGAAGTGCAACACTGGCGAACCAGGGGACGGTGCAGCAGCTGCTGCTGCTGCAGCTGCTGCTGCTGCTGCAGCGGTTGCTCAGCAAGAGGAAACAACTGAGGAGCAGCAGCAGCAGCAGCAACCTTGGCTGGTGTACATACACCGCAAAAGGCCTGCAGTCTCCTTTGTTGCTGTTCCCCGAGCAGCAGCAAACTCCTGCTGCTTCTCGTTGCTGCTGCAGCAGCAGGAAGTTGCGCGGTGCACGCTGCTGCCAAGTCAGCAGCACGTAAGGTGGCAGCAGCAGCAGCAGCAGCTGCAGCAGCAGCTGCTGCTGCAGCTGCCGCCGGTTCGTAACGATGTGTCAGTCTCCTGCGTGCTGCACCAAGCTGAGAAGCTGCAGCAGCCGCAGCTGCTGCAGCAGCAGCAGCAGCAGCAGGAACTCCAGCAGCAATGGTACTACTGCAGCAGCAGCGCCGCCACGTCCCCGCTGGTTTCGGGGCAGCCTGCAGCTGCTGCTGTTACAGCGCAGCAGCAGCAGCAGCAGCAGCAGCAGCAGGTGAGCCCCGTGCTGGCGGCAGCAGCAGCAGCACAGGAGCTTGCAATATTTCGTTTGCTGCAGGAGGAGGCAGCAGAACTGCAGCAGCAATGGAGAGAAGTGCTGCTGCTGCAGCACTGCTGCCCCTTCTCGCTGCAGTTCCGTCTGCGGCTGCTGCACGGGCGCGCGTTGCTGCACACAGCAGCAGCAGCAGCAGCAGCAGCAACACCGGGAGCAGCAGCAGCAGCAACTGCTGCTGCTGAGCGCGAAGCAGAAGCACAGCAAGAAACAGTTTGTTTGCGCTTTAGCGTATGCAGGCAGCAGCAGCGGCAGCAGCAGCAGCAGCAGCGCGAAACTGTGGTGGAAGTCAGCAGCAGCAACGTGCTGTTGCAGCAGCTGCTGCAGCAGCTGCTGCAGCAGCTGCTGGGCACTGCAGCAGCAGCAGAACAGATCCACAGCAGCAGAAGGCCGCTGCGGCAGCTGCTGCGCCTGCTGCTGTGTGGGGCGGAGTTCCTCTGCTGCTGCTACAGGCTGCCTGCTGCGCTGCTGTGTTACAAGTCCATCGGGCAGCAGCAGCCGCAGCAGCAGCAGCAGCAGCAGCAGCAGCAGCGGGCGAAGCAGCAGCAGCTCGTACTGCAGCAGTGGTGCCACGCAGCAGAAGCAGCAAAGGGAGGAGGGGTCTCGCTGCTGCCGTTTTACGTGGAGGCATCTGCAGCAAGTCGCGTTGCAGCAGCAGCAGCAGCAGCAGCAGCAGACGCAGCTGTTGCTGCTGCCGTCGCGGGGGGCGGCGTAGCGCCCGCCGCAGTCGAGGCCGAAGCAGCAGCAGCAGCAGCAGCAGCAGCAGGACCTGCTGCACCTGCAGGAGACTGCGCAGCAGCAGACTTTTTGCTGCCTTGTCTCATGCTGCACTTGGAGGGGCTGCCGCCGCTGCTGCTGCGGCAGCACGCGCGCTGCCGCTCTCTGGTGTCTATACACCTCGTCATTGAGGAGACGCGGCAGCTCAGGCAGCAGCAGCAGCAGCAGCAGCAACAGCAGCAGCAGCAACAGCAGCAGCAGCAGCAGCAGCGGGGAGGGCCTCCGAAGCAGCAGTCGACACAGACCATCACCTACTTCTCCCCTGCGAGTCTGGCCAGCAGCAGCAGCAGCAGCAGCAGCAGCAACAGCAGCAGCAGCAGCAGCAGCAGCAGCAGCAGCAATGCAGCGCTGTACCCCGAGGACTTTGTGGTGGGTCTTTCCCACGTGCTGCAGCAGTTCGCTACTGTGGCTTCCGCGGTGGTAGCGCCGCAGCAGCAGCCAGACGACAGCAGCAGCAGCAGCGCAGCAGCAGCAGCAGCAGCAGCAGCAGCAGCAGCAGCAGTGCGCCACTTGGTAGGGGGCCACGGCAGGAGGTGTCTGTACACCCCACAAAAGCTGCGAGCTTCTCGGCGGGTAAATTCGCCGCCGTGTTTGGAGTGTATAGCCAGCTCAGCAGCAGCAACAGTTTTGGTGTGGCCGGGGCTGCTGCTGCAGCAGCTGCTGCTGCCCCTGCTGCAGGTCTGCAAGCTCTACATCTCCTTTGCTGCTGCTGCTGCTGCTTTCAGCCCCAGCGACAGAAGCAGCAGAATTTGCTTTGCTGCTGCAGCGCCAAACCAGCTGCTGCTCAGCAGCGGCTCCCCTGTAGCTTCACTCGACATCTCCCCCGCACCACAGCAGCAGCAGCAGCAGCAGCAGCAGCAGCAGCAACAGCAGCAACAGCAGCCGCAGCAGCAGCAGCAGTGTACGAAGATTGTGCTGTCGCTGTCCCTTCATTGCCTCCAAGAGGCACTTGTCTCACCGGGACTGCAGCAGCAGCAGCAGCAGCAGCAGCTTAAACACGATCATCAGCAGCAGCAGCAGCAGCAGCTCGTTGAACAAGACCAGCAGCAGCAGCAGCAGCAGCAGCAGCAGCAGCAAACGACTGTGTTCTACATGCATTGGTCAGATGCGCTCACTGAGTCGATGCTGCTGCCTCTAAATGAGCAGCTGCAGAAAGGTTCCTCCTTTGCTGCTGCTGCTGCTGCAGCTTCTGCTGCTGCTGCTGCAGCAGATGCTGCTGATGAAAAGAGCTGCAAGCCCATCACTGTCAAGCTGGAAGGGGTCTCCCCGGCAGACCTGGCAATGCAGCAGCAGCAGCAGCAGGTGCAGCAGCAGCAGCAGCAGCAGCAGCAGATCCCGCAGCGGCAGCAGCAAATCTGTCGCTGCTGCGGCGAAGTTTGCAGCAGCTCCCCTGTGCTGCTACGTGGTGAAGCTGTGGCAGACACTGAGAGGTGAGGCCAGCAGCAGCAGCAGCAGCAGCAGCTGTTGCAGCAGCAGCAGCAGCAGCAGCTGTTGCAGCAGCAGCAGCAGCAGATGCTGCTGCTGTTGCAGCAGCAGTAGTAATAACGTGCGCTCATGGGGATCCCCTGCGCATTGAAGATGCTTTTGCTGCTGCTGCTGCTGCTGCTGCTGCAGACTCTTGATGCTGAACCTGCAGGCATTGCTGCTGCTGTTGCTGCTTACGTGCTGCTGTTGCTGCTGCTGCTGCTGCTGCTGCTCAGGTTGGAGCGTGCTGCTCCGTTTGCGCAGCTGCTGCTGCAGATGAACTGGGAAGGCAGAGGCACTGCAGTGCTGCAGCAGTTCGTGCGGTGAGCAGCAGCAGCAGCAGCAGCTGCTGCAGCAGCAGGTGCCAGTGTGGGGTGGCCCTCCTTGCTGTGTCGTGTTTGCTTGGTATCGAGTTGACTTGCTGCTGCTGCTGCTGCTGCTGCTGCTGCTGCTGCTGCTGCTTCTTCGTCTCTGTTTTTCTCCTTGACTGGCGCTTTGCGTTTTGTCCTTCAAGACTAATATGCCCTGCACAAATCAGCAGCAGCAGCAGCAGCTGCTGCTGCTGCTGCTGCTGCTGCCGACTTGCTGTGTCTTCTTTTCATTTTGCTGCTGCTTATGTCTCTTTGTGTCTCTTTGCTGCTGCAGCCTTTTGGGCCCTTTGCTGCCGAGCAGCCACATGTCTCTGTTTACTGCGTATTTGCGGCAGCAGCTGGAGACAGCAGCAGCAGCAGCGGCTGCTGCTGCTGCTGCTGCTGCTGCTCCGGGTGCCGCGCCAAGCAGCAGCAGCAGCAGCAGGGGAGGCAGCAAAGATGCTCCTCAAGAGTTCGCCTGCTGGATGCTGCAGCCCCTGAGAAGTTTGCTGTCGCACTTGGCGCTGCATGCAGCTCTTGCTGCTGCTGCGCTGCGCTGGCAGCAGGGGGCTCCTGCTGCAGCCCGCAGCAGCAGCAGCAGCAGTGCAGCAGCAGCAGCAGCAGCAGCAGATGAAGGGCTGGATGAAGAGTTTCAAATCAAACGGCTTATTGCTACGAAGAAGAGAGGCGCGCGGGGCGTTGCAGCAGTTCCTGGTGCTGCTGCTGCTGCAGAGGAAGGAGCCCCAGCAGCAGCAGCAGCAGCAGCAGCAGCAGCAGCAGCAGATGGGCTAAGTGGCGAGGGTCTCTTCTTTGCTGCTTATTATGGGATGAACATAAGGGACTCACCCACGCTGCATCGGGTTGCTGCGCTGCTGCTGCATCATTTGCTGCCGCTGCTGCAGCAGCCGCTGCTGAAGGATAAGTTTGTGCGGGCAGAAAGGGCTGTTGCTGCTGCTGCTGCTGCAGCAGCAGCTGCGGACAAGGCTGCGCAGCAGCAGCAGCTCCTAATGCATCCAGACAGAGAGCCAACAGCAGCGCCCGCAGCAGCAGCAGCTGCTGCTGCTGCTGCCGCAGCAACGGGGACATCTCCTGCAGCTGCTGCGGGGCTCGCGGAGCCCTCGCAGCAGCAGCTGCTGCAGCAGCAGCAGATGCTGCAGCAGCAGCAGCAGCAGCCAGCTGAGGGCCGCAGCATGCACCTGGAGCTGCTGCTGCCGAAGCAGCCGCTTGTCTTCCCCCAGTTTCTGCCCCCGGAGACCCCCGATAGGTAAGCAGCAGCGAAAGCTGCAGCAGCAGCAGCAGCAGCAGCTGCTGCTGCTGCTGCTGCTGCTGCTGCTGCTGCTAAAGCTCTGCCTCCCCATTTAATCATAATAATAATAACAATAGGTATTATTATTATTATTATTATTATTATTATTATTATTATTATTGTTATTTAGTCTGTTATTATTATTAATCAATTAATTCTATTTTATTTTGCTTTCTTTAATTCTTTTTTCATTTTCTTTATTTGCTGCTGCCAGCTGCCTTCTTTGTTTGCCATTTGCTGCTTCACTTTCGTAATTTATTTATTTTGTATTATTTATTTGTTATTTATTATTTATTTATTTATTATTTTTTATTTACATATTTATTAATTATTGTTTATTCATTATTTATTTAGTTATTATTTATTTATTTATTTATTTATTTATTTATTTATTTATTTATTTATTTATTTTTTATTTATTATTTATTATTTATTATTTATGTATTTATTTGTTTATTTATTTAGTAATTAGGACGACTTTTGGCTTGGAGCCAAAATGCCACAAAGCGAAAATTTAAAAAGTTAATTTAATTTATAAAATGTAAATATCCATTCAAGCATTTGCTTTCATTTTCCACTTTTCCGCCACCTGCTGCTGCTGCTGCTGCTGCTGCTGCTGCTGCAGGATGCAGAAGGCAAAACCTTCAGAGTCTACGCAGCAACTGCTGCGCTGCTGCACATAAAGCCTTTCCCGCCGCCCCACGTCTCCGTCGTTATGCTGCAGGGCATGCGGCTGCCCGCGCTGCTGCAGGTCCTGCTGCTGCTGCTGCTGCTGCTGCTGCTGCTGCTGCTGCTGCTGCTGCTGCTGTTGTTGTTGTTGTTCGTGTTGGTGCTGCTGCTGCTGCAGCGGGCGCTGGAGAGGTGCTTTTGCTGCTGGAGCTGTTCTTTTGTTCGGGGCGAAAGTCCCTGCTGCTGTTGCAGTGCTGCTGCTGCTGCTGCTGCTGCTGCTGCTTCTCTGGTTGTCTTGGTTGCTTTCTGCTCCTTGTTTGCTGCTGCTGCTGCGCCGTTCTTTGCAGCTGGTTGCACCGTTGGTGCTGCAGGCCTGGCTGCTGCTGCTGCTGTTGCTGCTGCTCCTTTCACTTGGACCTGCAGCCCTTCCTTCGCATTTGCTGCTGCTGCTGCTGCTGCTGCTGCTTCTGGAGATGTCTCTGTTTCACGTGTTTAGCTGCTGACGCTGAGACAGCAGCTGTGGGCGTCAGCAGCAGCAGCAGCAACAGCAGCAGCAACAGCAGCAGCAGCAGCAGCAGCAGCAGTTGTTTGGCCTTTTGTGCCTCAGGAGCTGCAAAAGAAAGAACGGCTTTTCTCTTCAAGTGTATTAAAACCTGTCATGGAAAAAGCAGCAAAAGCCTTCGGCTTCTCCATTACCTACAGCCTGGCGGTATGCTGCTGCTGCTGCTGCTGCTGCTGCTGCTGCTGCTGCTGCTGCTGCTGCTTCTGCTGTGTGTGTGCTGTTGCTGCTGCTGTTGCTGCTGCCCTTGGCGGCGCTGTCTGCTCGTGCTGCTGCTGCTGCTGCTGCCAGTGCCGTTTGCTCTTGATGGCACAGCTGCCCTTGTTGTGTCCCCTGCTGCTGCTAGTACTACTGCTGCTGCTGCTGCTGTCATTGTTGCTGCTGCTGTTGCGGCTGTTGTTTGTGCTGGCGCCGTTTGGTAGGAGGGGAGCTTCTCAGTTGCTGCTGCTGCTGCTGCTGCTGCTGCTGCTGCTGTTTCTGTAGGCTGTTGCTGCTCTGTTCTTCGGAGTTGGCGATTTGGATCTCCTGGCGACGGCGCTGCCTCCATTACAGTCAGCTGCTGCTGCTGCTGCTGCTGCTGCTGCTGCTGCTGCTGTCTCAGTAGCTTTTCTTCTGCTGCTGTGGTTAATGTTTCCTGCGTCAGTGCTGCTGCTGCTGCTGCATGCATGTTTGTTGCTGCACTCTTGCGGCTGCTGTCCTTGTTCGGTGTAGCGAAGCAGAGCTGCCTTGGCTTCTGCTGCAGCCGCTGCTGCTACTGCTGCTGCTGCTGCTGCTGCTGCTGCTGCTGGGCTGCTCTCTCCGAGGCTTCCCGAGAACAAAGCAGTGTGCTGCTGATGCTGTGGCTTTTTACCTGCATACAGGCCTTGTGCTGCAACAGCGCAGCAGCAGCAGCAACAGCAACAGCAGCAGCAGCAGCAACTGCAGCAGCAACTGCAGCAGCAGCGGCAGCAGCAGCGAGGCCCTGTAGGTCCGCAACAGCAGCTCTATCTGCAGCAGCAGCAGCAGTTGCAGCAACACCAGCAACTGCAGCAGCAACAGCAGCTGCAGCAACAGCAGTTTGTCCAGGCGAGGCAGCAGCCGTTTCCATTGCAGCAACACGCTGCAGCACAGCACCACAGCATGCAAATGCAGCTCCACCAGCAGCAGCAGCAGCAGCAGCAGATGCAGCAGCAACAGTGGCTGCAGCAGCAGAGATCAGGTGCAGACGGGCAGCAGCAAGTGCTGCAGCCGCAGCAGCAACCGCAGGCGCTGCAGCTGCAGCAGCAGCCGCTGGGCTATGCTTACATAGGAAGAGTAGACTGTGGGCCTCAGCAGCAGAAGCAGCATGAGCAGCACACCGCACTACAGCAGCAGCAGCAGCAGCAGCAGCAGCAGTTTGCTGCAACAGACCCTGGCTTTGTGCCGCAGCAGCAGGCGCTGCTGCCGCAGCATGCATATGCAGTTCGGCAGCAGCAGATGCCTCAGCAGCAGCAACAGCAGCAGCTGCTGCAGCAGTTTCACCAACAGCCAGTGCAGCAGCAGCCGTTGCAGAGGATGCAGCACAGCCAGTTGCAGCAGCAGCAGTTGCAACAGCAACAGCAGCTGCAGCAGCAACTGCAGCAGCAACAGCTGCAGCAGCAGCTGCAGCAACCGCAGCGCCTGCAGCAGCCGCAGCAGCAGGAACTGCACAGCATCCCTGCTCGTTCTTTTTCCCGCCCATCCGGCTACCTGCAGCAGCAGCAGGAACAGCCGCTTCAGCAGCTGCAGCAGCAGCAGCAGCCGCTGCAGCAGCAGCTGCAACAGCCGCTGCAGCAGCAGCCTCTGCAGCAGCAGCAGCAGCGGCTGGGCCACCTGGGGTACGTAGCGTCCACACAGCCACTGCAGCAGCAAATGTCGCAGCTGCCGCTGCAGCAGCAGCATCACTTATATTCGCATACTGCAGCACCGCAGCAGCAAATGCTGCTGCAGGGGCAGCCCAGCTGGCAGCAGCAGCAGCAGCAGCCGCCCTTCCAGCAGCAGCAACTGCAGCAGCAGCTGCAGCAGCCCCACCACCGCGATCTTATGCAGCAGCAGCTGCAGCAGCAGCAGCAGCCGCAGCTCATCAGTGCGCACCCGCAGGTGCAGCAGCAGCAGCAGCACATTGCTCAGCAGCAGCAGCAGCGGCTGCTGTGTCAGTCTGCGGCGTCGCCGCCTCACACTAGCTTAGGTACTCTACAGCAGCAGCAGCAGCAGCAGCAGCAGCAGCAGCACACCCACCAGTTTGGGCAGCAGCAACTAATAGGACTGTCTCCCAGTCAGCAGCTACCGTTGCAGCAGCAGGACCCCCGCCTGCCGCAGCAACAGCTGCAGCAGCAGCAACTGCAGCAACAGCAGCTGCAGCAACAGCAACTGCAGCAACAACAGCTGCAGCAACAACAGCTGCAGCAGCAGCAGCTGCAACAGCAGTTTCTCCGGGGCCCCCATGGAGAGCCAATGGTGTATCCGCAGCAGCAGCAGGCGAGGCAGCAGCAGCTGCAGCAGCAGCAGCTTCAGCAGCAGCTGCAGCAGCACCAGATGGCCCCTGGCCATAGTCACGATGCCTTGCTGCAGCAGCAGCTGCCGCCTCAGCAGCTGCAAATGCTGCCGCAACAGCAACAGCAGCAGCTGCTCCTGCAGCAGCAGCTGCAGCAACAACAGCAGCTGCAGCAACAGCAGCAGCAGCAACTACAGCAGCAGCGGCTGCAAATGCAGCTGCAGCAGCAGCAGCCTGGGGCCCCCTTCTACAACTAGGGGGAGCAACGAAGCGAACTATTTAGGAACAGCAGCAGCAGCAGCGACAGCTGCAGCAGCTGCAGCAGCAGCAGCAACAGTAACAGCAGCAGCAGCAACAGCAACAGCAGCAGCAGCAGGAAGTGCTGCGCCTGTTTGAAGCTTTGACACAACTTAACGGTTTTATCCTTTAAGAATAATTTAAAGCGCAGCAGATGAAGTGCGCCATAAATATTCAGTTTGCTGCTGCTGCTGCTGCTGCTGCAGCTGTTGCTGCTGCTGTTGCTGCTGCTGCTGCCACAGCGGCAGACGCAGCAAGCAGCAGACCCAAACTAATAAAGACAAGTGAGCTGCTGCTGCAGCAGCAGCAGCAAAGGAAGCCGCAGGTAAAGACAAAAAGACAAAAAGAAATAAAAATAAAAAGAAATAAATGAAGCAGCAAAAAGACACAAAGGAGGAGTGCAGCAAACCGGCAGCAGCAGCAGCAGCAGCAGGAAGAAGAGCCACAGAGAAGTGGAAAAGGAAATAAAAGAAATAGAAAGAAATAAATAAAAGAAATAAAAAGAAATAAATAAAAGAAATAAAAAGAAATAAAGGAAATAAAAAGGAAAAGGTGAGGAAGAAGACGCAGAAAAAGCGCGTCAAAGGGAAAGCAAAAGCTGCTGCTGCTGCTGCTGCTGCTGCTGCTGCTGCTGCTGCTGCACTTCAGCAATCCTCGGAAGAGCAGCAAAAGGAGACACAAAAGGAGGCACAAAAGAAGACAAATTTAAAAAAGAAAAAAAAGAAGAAAAATTAATTTCTTTCTTTTTAAAAATCTCAAGAGCACACAGCGACGTTATGTCAATTAGCCGCAAACTCATCAAGTCCCCGCTGCTGCTGCTGCTGCTGCTGCTGCTGCTGCTGCTGCGGCTGCTGCTGCTGCTGCTTAGCTGCTGCGCTGCGCTCGCGGAGGCCCAGGCGTCTCGGTGCTCGGACAGCAGCAGCAGCAGCTCTGCCTGCAGCAGCAGCAGCGGCAGCAGCAGCAGCAGCAAACAAAAGCCCCAGAATAGTTTATTTATTTATTTATTTATTTATTTATTTATTTATTTATTTATTTATTTATTTATTTTTATTTACCCTCAATGCAAAGTAAAGACGCCAATCCCGCACATTCATCGTCTGCATCATTTCGCGGACCACCGCAGCCCAGCAGTCTTCTTCTGCTGCTGCAAACAAGCAGCAGCAGCAGCAGCAGCAGCAGCAGCAGCAGTAGCAGCAGCAGCAGCAGTAGCAGCAGCAGCAGTAGCAGCAGCAGCAGCAGTAGCAGCAGCAGCAGCAGCGAAGCGGGAGCAGCAGGGACAGGCGCAGCAGCAGCAGCGGCAGTAGTAGCAGCAGCAACAGCAACAGAAGCGATAGCAGTGCCGGCAGAATCAGCAGCAGTAGCAGCAGCAGACCACAGCAGCAGCAGCAGCAGCAGCAGCAGCAGCAGACCACAGCAGCAGCAGCAGCAGCAGCAGCAGCAGCAGCAGCAGCAGCATTAGGAGAATCACTTGATGAAATAGACGAAGTCTGCTGCTGCTGCTGCTGCTCACAAACTCCATGCAAAATGAAACGGAAGCACTTAGCGGCGAAAGAACGAGCGAACCCCCCAAACCCTAAACCCTAAACCCTAAACCCTAAACCCTAAACCCTAAACCCTAGCTCACCCAGGATGTTTGGAAGGGGCACGTTGAGGCCTTGTGCTGCAGCAATTTCCATTTCTGCTTCTGCTGCTGCATCCGACAGCAGCGAGTCCAAGTCGAGGCCCCAGCTGTTGGTTTCGTAGTCTCCCCACAAGGACTCTGCATCGGATTCTGCTGCTGCTGCTGCTGCTGCTGCTGCTGCTGCTGCTGCTGCGGGTGCTGCTGCTGCTGCTGTCGACAGGCGGTCCGGGGACCAGCTGTAGGGCCCAAAGCCGTAGTCAATCGGGTTCAGCACTGCACAGGGTCCTGCAGCAGCAGCAGCTGCTGCTGCTGCTGCTTCTGCTGCTGCTGCTGCTTCTGCTGCTGCTCCTGTCGGGCTGCTGTTGCTGCTGCTCGCAGGGCTGTCTGCAGCAGCAGAAACTGAGTTGAGGCAGCTCCATGCGAACCTGCTGCTGATGTGCCTTTTGCTGCGCTGCTGCTGCTTGCTGCTGCTGCAGCCCTTGCTGCGGCTGCTGCTGCTGCTGCTGCTGCTGCTGCTCTCGCTTGTGACTGAAGACAAGTCCGTCCACTCGGAGTCCGAGCTCGCAGCTTCTGCTGCAGCAGCAGAACTTGCTGCTTCTGCTGCAGCAGCAGAACTAGCTGCTTCTGCTGCTGCTGCAGAATCAGCTGCTTCTGCTGCTGCAGCAGAATCAGCTGCTTCTCCTGCAGCAACAGGGGAAGCAGGCGGGGGAGCAGCAGTAGCTGAACTAGCTGCTGCTGCTGCTGCTGCTGCTGCAACGGGAGAAGCTGCTGCAGCAGCTGCAGCAGCAGGCGGCGATGTTGGGGGCTTCATGAATCTTCCGCCGCGGCAAGCAGCAGCAGCAGCAGCTGCTGCTGCTGCTGCCGATACACCTGCCGCCGGGGCCTCTATTGCTGCTTCTTTTGCTGCTGCCCCTCCATCAATTCTCATCTGCAAAAAGAACTTTTGCTGCTGCTTTTGCTGCTGCTTTTGCTGCTGCTTTTGCTGCTGCTTTTGCTGCTGCTTTTGCTGCTGCTTTTGCTGCTGCTTCTGCTGCCAAGTGCTGCTGCTGAATAGTTCAGCAACAGTGGCTTTGATTGCGAAAGCCCGAGACAAATAAAAGAAAAACAGAAAGAAATGAACAGCAGCAACTGCTGCTGCTGCTGCTGCTGCTGCTGCTGCTGCTGCTGCTGCTGGTCCTGCTGCTGTCCCGTTGCGCGCCCGCCTTCTCGCTCTTGCAGAGACGAACCCAACCAAGTAGCCCTTGTTCCTGCTGCTGCTGCTGCTGCTGCTGCTGCTGCTGCTGCTGCTGCTGCTGCTAGTGCAGCACGCAGTGCTGCTGAAGTCAGTAGCTGCTGCTTCACTTGGGTTTTTGTCTGTTACCTGTTTGGCCGCTTTGTGGCCTCCCGCTGCAGCACCTGGGCCTGCGGCTCCGCGCAACCTGAACTGCTGCTGCTGCTGCTGCTGCTGCTGCTGCTGCTGCTGCTGCGCGCAGCAGAAGTTAAGTCCCGCTTTGGCGCTCTCTTGAAAGGCTGAGGCGAAGAGAAGCTGCAGCAGGAAGGGCAGCAGCAGAAGAGAGGCAGGGGCGGCGGATCACCCCACTGGGTATGTTGCAGCGTTGCAGAAACCAGCAAGTAGCTGCTGCTGCTGCTGCTGCTGCTGCTGCTACTGCAATAGCGTGTGTCAGGGCAAATATTAAAGGCAAATCAACAAATTCAATTCGAGAAAAAGCAGCAAAGTCGCAGACGCTCGCGCGAGCCCGCTGCGCTCCTTCTGCGGCCGCCACGCGCAGCAGCTGCCCAGCAGCCCCATCCCGAAAGCAGCGCAACAAACAGCTCTTCTTCTTTTTACTTTTTAAAATTGAATTTCGCGCTTTCTTTCGGATTCTTCAGAGTCTCGTTTCAGCTTCTGGGGCGGGGGGAATTCAAGGCGCAGGCCGCCGCAGCTGCTGCTGCACTGGCATCTACTGTTTGCTGGGGCCGGCGAACTTTCTCGCTGCGTCTTCCACTTTTTCTTCCAATTTTTACTCTTTTTTAGAACTAAATTGCATTTAAAAGGGCTTGGGAGCAGTTCAGTGTTCGTTTCTGGCGGAAAGCTGGGCCGCCGCGCGGTGTCTTCTGCAGCCGATTGCGCGCAGCCGCGCGATCCGCACACGAAATCTCCAAAACTCCGCGCCAAATAGCCTTTTTTATTCGCTTCCGGAGTTTTATTTACTTATTTTGGAGTTTTCAAGAAGATATTGGGGCTTTTCGCCGGCGAAAAAGCCGCAATGTGTGCCTACTTCCCCCCAGATTCAAGTTCTGGCATGCCGCCGCCAGCAGCGGCAGCTTCGAACTTCCCCGTCGCCGGCAGGTGCAGCAAAAGGCCCAAACTTGAAAAGTTGAATTTGCAATTTGCTGCAGCATTTTGGAAGTCTTTTGTTGCTGCTGGCTTCAGCAGCAAACTTGGGGGGGTTCCAGGCGGCTAATTGCGTCATTTTGGCCATTATTTTCTCCTTTTTGGTGAATTTAATTCCCCATTTTGTTTCCTTTTGGGTTTTTCAGACTTGTGCGCGGCTGCGATCTTCCGGCGTTCTCGGGGAAGCAAGTTTCGCTGCTGGGCACTTTGCTGCAGCTGCAGGGCAGCGTGGCGGCGATCCGCGCGGTAGACGGTGCGTTTTTTTCGTTTTTTTCGACTTTTTAAATCAAATTTAACAAATTAAATTAATTTATTTCATTTAAATTCAAATTCCCGCACTTTTGCTGCCTCTTCAGGCCTCGACATCTCCTGCACGCTCGCCTGCCCGCCCACCGCGGCCCTCCAGAGCCCCGTCATTGCCTGCGGAGAGGCCCAGGGAACTTCTCTTGTAAATTGTTTTCGTTTAATTCCTTTAGGCGGAGAAATTGGTGGGGTTTTGTACCTTTTGCTGCTGCTGCTGCTGCTGCAGCTGCTGCTGCTGCTGCTGCTGCTGCTGCTGCTGCAGCTGCTGCTGCTGCTGCAGCACACAGTGTACAAGCTGCAGCTGCGTGGGAAGGCTTTGCTTCCTTTTGCTGCTGCTGCTGCTGCAGCAGCAGCAGCCTTCTGTTTGCTGCAGCTGCGTGGTGAAGCTCCAACGCTTTTTGCTGCTGCCAGGGGTCTTCTGCAGCATTTCAGAGCAAATAAGGGAATTAATTTAATTATTTTTATTTATTTTTATTTATTTTTATTTATTTTTATTTATTTCTGCTTTTAATTTGCAAATTCAGACAAAGAAGCAGCAGAAAAAGTCCTCGCCTACATGCAGCACCCAGGCCTGCAGGATCTGTACACCCCAGCCCCAGTGCCGCCGCCGCAGTAGTAGGAGCTTCTTGCCTCTTGCTGCTGCAGCAGCAGCAGCAGCAGCAGCTGCGGCTGCTGCTGCTGCTGTTCTGCCACGAGCTGCTGCTGCTGGAGCGGGTGCTGCTGCAACGCAGTTCGCAGCTGCTGCTGAGCGAGCTGCTGCTGCAGCGCAGCTTGCTGCTGTTGCAGGACCTGGTGCTGCTGCTTGAGCAGAAGCTGCTGCTGCAACGGCTTCTGCTGCTGCTGCTGCTGCTGCTGCTGCGCTGTTCCTGCAGGAGTTCTTGCTGCAGCGCATTGAGCTCAGCGCTGACTGTTTGCTGCTGCCTGCTGTCAGCTCTAAAGGTCTGTTTTCTTTTTTCTTTTAACTTCGGATTCTGTCTCTTCTTAAATCAATAGGTTCTGCTTCAGCAGCAGCAGCAGCAGCAGCAGCAGCAGCAGCCGCCTTCCTCTGCTGCCTCGGCAGCAGCAGCAGCAGCAGCAGCAGCAGCAGCAAGTTGAATCTTGAACAGAGGACTGCAGCACGAAGGCAGCTGGGCTATTAAAGTTCCTTTAATGAATTTGAAACTCAAAAATGTCTATAAGTAATTCTTGCTTGCTTTCTAGCTGCTTTTGCTGCTGCTGCTGCTGCTGCTGCTCTTGCTGCTGCTGCTGCTGCTGCTGCTGCTGCTGCTTGAATATGCTGCAGGTTGAGGCTGGGGTCTTTCCTCCCAGTCTTTCACTTTAGAAAGAACCGCGAACCCATGCTAGCAGATCCCTGCAGAGGGTTTAGGGTTTAGGGTTTAGGGTTTAGGGTTTAGGGTTTAGCATCTTCGCCTCTGATTCAAGTCGAAGCTCTCCAGCGCAGCCTTCAGCACCCTTCGAAATAAAAACGAAATTAAAATTAAAAATAAAAATAAAAATAAAAATAAAAATAAAAATAGCAAATTAAAATTAAATTGAAAGTAAAAAGAATTCATTTAAAGTTGAAAAGCAAAACGCAGCAAAGGGCACTTCAAAAGTTTGAAATTTAGAAAGCTGAGGAGGAAATGCTTTGAAATTAAATAAAATGAAAATAAAATAAAATAAATTTAAATTGAAAGCAAAAAGATAATAAATGAAATATATTTGAATTGAAAAGGAACAAAAAAGAAATGAAATAAGTTTGAATTCATAAAAAGGGAAAAAGATTTCAAATACCAGCAGCAGCAGCAGCAGGAACAGCAAAGTGGATAATAAGGGTTTCCAACCTGACTATTCATCTATTTTGGAAATTAAAACGATTAAAATGTGTCAAATTAAATTTCCTTTTCGTTTCTTCAATTAAATAATTAAAATGAGAAAAGGAAAAGCTCGAAAAACAGAAATATACAGAAATTCAACTTGGGCGGGTCGCTGGCTTCCCCGCCCGCAGCAGCAGTTTGTTTCCTTCTCAGCTTTTAAATTCACTTTTCTTTAAATTCTTGAAATTAAAATATCAAAAATAATATTTATTTTTGTTTTATTTTTGTTTTATTTAAATCAGCAGCAGAATAAGTCTTATTTGCTGCAGAGGGGCCCCCCAGGGTACCTGAATACGAGAGCAGCAGCAGCTGGGGGCCCCTCAGGGGCCCCTTCGGGGGGCCCCCCTCATTTGACTTTTTGTTTTGCAAGTTTTCTGCTGCCTCTTATTTATTTTAATATTTACTTCAAGTGCCACTTCTGAGGAATTGGAAGAGGGTGTAAGCCCAGTGCCGCAGCAGCAGCAGCAGCAGCAGCAGCAGCAGCAGCAGCAGCAGCAGCAGCAGCAGCAGGAACGGGAGGCGACACTTGGGTGTGGCTCCTTCTCATTCGTTTTAATTATCTTTTTGCAGTTTTTAATTAAACGTTTTATTGCAAATGCTGCTGGCTCTTCGAATTTAAACTCATTTACTTTTAGTGCAGCAGCAGCAGCAGAAGCAGCAGCAGCAGCAGCAAAACGCAACGCCAAAACTGCTGCGGCAATGCTGCTGAGGGCCCCAGCAGCAGCAGCAGCAGCAGCAGCAGCAGTAGGAACCTGCGCGCGCGATCGGCTGCGCGTCGCCGGAGCGGGTCTGCTGCTGCAGCCGCAGCTGCTGCTGCTGCAGCAGCAGCAGCAGCAGCAGCAGCAGCAGCAGCAAAGAAGGGGCCTGAAGTATATTCCTTTTCATGGCCGCAACAAAAAGCCCCGAAAAGTCTTGCCGCCGCCTCCTGTCTTTGCTGTTGATGCTGCTGCTGCTGCTCCTGACGCAGCCCTTTTATTGGACGACCTGCAGCAGCAGCAGCAGCAGCAGCAGCAGCAGCAGCTGTCCCCCTTCCAGGCAGTTCAGCTGCTGCAGGCGTTTTTGCCTCTGAAGCCGCAAAGGGCGGCGGACGACGCAGCAGCAGCAGCAGCAGACCAGCAGCAGCAGCAGCAGCAAAATGGCGCAGCAGCAGCGCCTGCTGCTGCTGCTGCGGATTCCCCCGAAGCAGCAGCAGCAGCAGCGCCAGCAGCAGCAGCAGCAGCAGAGAAAGAGAAAAGGGACCCTTTTATTTATATTGTGATGAAAGTAAATGCGGACTTGAGCAGAGAAAGTGTGCGGGGTGTATGTACACTCAAACACGGGGTGGGCAGCGACGCGAAGTTGGCAGTTTTCTGTTCCGACGAGGAAGTGAGTTTTTTTTGATTTCTTTTTTGGATTTGGACTTTAAATTCATTTTATTTTCAAAATTTAATCCAATTATTCTTTTTCTGCTCCTCAAATGCTTTTAAATGACTCCAAATTGAAAGAAATTCACTGCGCTTTCAGTTTCGTCCTCTCAGGTGTACGTACACCACACACCCTCCCAGAATTGAACAATTGAAACACTTTTTCAACTTTTCATTTTATTTCTTCATTTTATTTTATTTTATTTTAGTTCTTTATTTTATTTTATTTTGATTCTTTATTTTATTTTATTTTATTTCTTTATTGTATTTTATTTTATTTTATTTTATTTTATTTTCGATGACAGTTCCCTGCAGCTGCTGTCAATTCTCCTTTTAGTTTTAATTTTTGTTTTAATATTTATTTTGGTTTTAATTTTATTTTAATTTTTCCAATTCTATTTTTCATTTCTTCTTTTTGTTTTTTTCTTTTGTTATTTCTCTTTTCAGTTAAATTCAAACTTTGATTCTTTTTGCATTTTTACTTCAACTTCAATTTGCTTCCTCTCTGCTGCTGCTGCTGCTGCTGCTGCTGCTGCTGCTGCTGCTGCTGCTGCTGCACCTGTTTCTTCTCTGCTTCTAATTTGTGGCCTTCCATTTCATTTTATTTCTTTTATTTCATTTCATTTTATTTCATTTTATTTCATTTATTTCATTTTTAAATTATTTCTCATTTATTTATTTTTATTTTATTTTTTAATTTGCCCAACTTTTATTTATTCGCCTGTCTTCATGACTTTCTAGATTTTGCCGTCTGCAGCCTTACTCATCAAAACGAATAATTAATTGTAATTAATTATAATTAATTATATTTAATTATAATTAATTATAATTAATTATTATTTATTTGCAATTATTATTTCCTTTATTATTTGTTTACTTATTAATTTATTTATTCATTTATTTATTATTTATTTATTTATCTATTTATTTATTTATTTATTTATTATTTATTTACTTGTTTATTTATTTATGTATTTATTTATTTATTTATTTATTTATTTATTTTTTATTTCAGGCCCCGGCGCTGCTCGCTTTGGGCGCTGACTACGCGGGCGGCGACGCGTTAATTCAAAGAGTTGCCAAAGGGTAAACGAGGAAAATAAATAAATAAAAAATTTATTTTTTTTATTTTAAATCAAAAAATAAAATTTTTAAATCTTTTTAATTATAAAGCTCTTCATTTGCTGCATTTTAATGTCTCTTTTGCCTTTTAAAAATTAAAAATGAACTTTCCCGCTGCAGCTGCATGCAGCCAAACTCGGATAGAATATATATGCATGTAAATATATATATATTTATTATATATAATATCCATATTATATATATATTATATATATATATATTATTATATATATATATAATATATAGTATGTATATATATATTATTATAATATATATATTGTATATATATATATATATGTATATTATATATATATATATATATATATATTTAAATATATAATATATATATATTGTGTAGTATATATATAGTGTTTATATTGTACATAATATGTGTAATATATAAGTAATAAATATTTACGAAATGGACTTTACAGTTTGTGTTCATAAGGAGTTATGAGTGGCAGCAAAGTGCATTTAATGAAAGTTAAAATGCCATTTTATTAAAATGAATTATAAATAAATTTAAACAAATTGATACTTCAACTTGGCGGAAAGTTGGGTTTAAAAGGGTTTTGAACTTTTCTTTTTCTTCATTTGTTTATTTTCGGAGTTTTTTATTTCTTTTTATTTCTTTTTATTTCTTTTTCAACAAGATGGGTGGGCTTCGACAAAGCCCTTGCCTCGCCAGCCATAATGCCAAAACTTTTAAAAGTGGCGAAGATTTTGGGCCCCAAAAGACTCATGCCTTCTGCCAAGTCGGGTGAGTCTTTCGGGTGTACGTACACCTGGGGTGTACGGGTGTACGTACACCTGGGGTGTACGTACACCTCGCGGGGGCTGCGCGCGGCAGCTGGAGGGGCGGAAGTGGTTTCATTTTTGCTTTAATTCAGTTAATTTAATTTTAATTTGTTTAGTTTTTGTTTTTGTTCATTATTTAAACCAAAATTCGAACTCCAGGCTCTTGAAGAGACCAAATGCAGAACACTGCAGCCCAACTCAGGACAGGAGTTTTGAAATAAGTGAAATAAAATCTTTTTTAAATTAATTTCAAAGTGAACTTTAAAAGTGAACTTTAAAAGTGAACTTTAAAGGAATTGAACATAAATTTCAAGAAATTAAATAATCAAAGGAGGGCAGAAAAAATCCTAAAACAGAAAACTGGGGTTTGCTGTTAAGGGTTCAAGACTTGCGCAACCCTAAATCAGGGTTTGGGTCTAGGGTTTAGGGTTTTCGCGTGAATTCTGTTGCTTCTTGCTAGGGTTTGAGTCCTGCATGCATGAACGGGCTTGTTACCCAGGGTTTAGGGTTTAGAATCTAGGGTTTAGGGTTTAGGGTTTAGGGTTTAGAACCTATGGTTTAAAATTTAGGGTTTGTGCAGGGTCTAGAACCCATGGCTTCTGACAGAGCGATTGTGCTCTCATATTCAGAGTTTCGAGTTTCGGGCTTCCGGCCTAGGGCTCAGGGTTTAGGGTTTAGGGTTTAGGGTTTAGGATTTGGGGTTTAGGGTTTAGGGTTTAGGGTTTAGGGTTTGCAGGGACGGTGGTGGGGAGTTTGGCGGCTGCCGTGCGGGCCAACAAGAGCGGGAGTTGTGTGGAGTTTCGCGCGGAAGGAAAAGGACTTTTGAAAGTTCCTTTTGCTTTAAAAGACTTTTCGGAAGTTCAAATTTTGGAAAACTTGAAAACCCTCGTTGCTGAAGTTCGCAGCAGTTTTTCTTTTTTCCTTTTTGTTTCATTTAATTCCAAGTTGGACTTCTGAGTAGTTATCTTCGTTTAATTGTTTGTTTGTTTGTTTGTTTGTTTGTTTGTTTGTTTGCTTATTTGTTTGTTTATTTGTTTGTTTGTTTCTTTGTTTGTTTGTTTGTTTGTTTGTTTGTTTGTTTGTTTATTTGTTTGTTTGTTTGTTTATCTGATTATTTATTTATTTATTTATTTATTTGTTTGTTTGCTTTTTTATTTGTTGTGTTTTGTGATATAGTTGTTTTCTTTTTGTGCTTTTAAATGAGAGATTTGTGTTTTGAATTTGCAAGAGAAGAATTGTTTTATTTGTTATTTTAAAAGACATTGTTTTTTTTGAAAATGCAAAAAAAAAGAATTGTTTTACTTGCTTTTCATTTTAACAGAGTTGTTTTTAAATTGCAAAAAGAAGAATTGTTTTATTTATTATTTCTAAAAGGAGGATTGTTTTTGAAATTGTAAAAACGGAATTATTATTCTGTTACTTCTATTTTTTAATTTGTTGTTTTTTGAAAATAAAATTTATCTTTATTTTTTTAAAATATGGAATTGGCGTTTTTGAAATAATGAAACAGATTTATTTTTTTAATTCTTTTATTTAAAAGTGGAGACAAAAAATTGATTTTTTGTTTTTGAAACAAAAAATTGGAATTGTTTTTATGTAGAATTAATTTTAAAAAGTGGAAATGGCATTCAGAAGGAAACAGAACTGGAATTGTTTTTATTAATCTTTTAAAGTGGAGTTGTTTTGTATAAACCAAAAAGGTGAAACTCCTCTTTTTTATTTTTTAAATGGTGGGGTTGTTGTTATTTGTTTTTCTTAATGGTTTGTTGTTATTTATTTTTCAAAAGGTCTTATTATTTATTTTCAAATATTTTTGTTTATTCTCAGAATTGTCCTTGTTTGTCTTGATGCTGCATTATTTGTTTTAAAAGCATTATTACTTTCAAAACTAATTTATTTTATTTTTAAATAATTGTTTTTCATTTTCAAAGTTTTTTTGTTTTTAAATGCCAGCTGCTCCCGCGCATGCAGTGTCTTCTTCTGAGTTGAACTAAAGAACAAATCCCGGAAAAAGAATTTAAAACTGCCATTTAAATCCAAACAAACAATTAAATAATTAAACAATCAAACAATTAAATAATTAAACAATTAAATAATTAAATAATTAAATAATTAATTAATTAATTAATTAATTAATTAATTAAATCTTCTTTTCTGTTTTGCCGCAGGTCTTGAAGGCGCAGCCGCGAAGTCGCGGCGGCGGCGTCGAAGCTTCGGGTGTATCTACAGCTGCTTTCGCCTGGCCTCCTCTTTCTTTTTTAAATCGACGCCATCACTTTTTAAAATCTCAAAAAAAAGAATTCAAAAGAGGTGGGGCTTTGCAGGACTTGCGGGCCTTTAGGTTGTCTTTATTTCCTTCCTTTTTGTTACTTCTCTTCTGTCTTACTTCGTTTGTTTTATTTCTCTTCTGTCTTATTTCTTTGTTTTATTTCTCTTCTGTCTTATTTCTTTTTTATTTCTTTTCTGTCTCATTTCTTTTATGTTATTTCTCTTCTGTCTCATTTCTTTTGTTTTATTTCTCTTGTTTTATTTCTCTTGCTATATTTCTTTTGTTTTATTTCTCATGTTTTATTTCTTTTGTTTTATATCTCCTGTTTTATTTCTTTCGTTTTATTTCTTTTGTTTGAATTATTTTTGAAATCTTTTTGTTAATTCCCTAAACCCTGAAAGCTAAACCCTAAACCCTGAAAGCTAAACCCTAAACCCTGAAAGCTAAACCCTAAACCCTTGTTGAGCATGCATGCGAGATGCGCAAAGTGATATACACTTGAATGAATCTTGAATTTGAAAAATTAAATTACTTTTAAAGCATTTATGGCATTTAAAAATTCAAAAATGAAATAAAATAAAAATAAAGTAAAATAATATGAAATGAAATAAATAAAACAAAACAGAATAAAATAAAATGAAGTGGAATAAACCGCCGCTGCAACTCCCCCTGTGCTGTGCGTTGCGGTGTACGTACACCCCAGACACCCCGGAGCAGGGCCCCGAGCAGTCGAAAGGCTCTTCAGATTTTTTTATTTCTTCTGCAACTTTGGAGGCCGAAGGGTCTCCAGAAATAGATTTATTGCCAAGTGCTCTTCACCCGGCCTCCGCTGGCTACTTCCGGTAGAGTTGAAGGTGACCAGTGGTCCACTCTGGTCAGGCTGCATGCGCATGCATGCAACCAGCCGGTGAAATGCGCAATAAATCAATAAATTAACCATTATTTTCATTTATTTCAAGATTTTAGTCCCTTAAAAATATATATTTGCACCATTTGTTGAATGCTGCTTCAAAATTTGCAGCTTCATATCCCATAGGCTCCAGGTGTACATACACCCCACATGTTGAATATTTCTTATAGGGTCAGCACACCTGGAAATCTTCATATATATAACTTCATATATGTACATATATAATATATATATAGTATATATTATATATATTATATGTATATTATATATATAATGTATATATATGACATAATATATATAATATATTTCATACATCTACTTATATTTATTACTAAAGCATGTCATTGCGAACCATGTGAACTCAACTCCGAGCCAACACCTGCGAACTGGCTGAGGGCCGTGGGGTTCTTGAGGCTATTGCTGCTGCTGCTGCTGCTGCTGCTGCTGCTGCTGCTGCTGCCCTTCAGCAGCTGCCGGTTGGTGGCTGCTGCTTTCTTGTCTACATGTGAGAGCTTTTTCCCAGTTGCAGCAGCTCTTTAGGTTGCTGCTGCTGCTGCTGCTTTTAAAACAAGCGCAGTGCTGCTGCAGCAGCAGAAACTGCAGCAGCAGCAAAAGCTGCTGCAGCAGCAGAAACTGCTGCAGCAGCAGTGAGGAGCAGCAACAGCGGTAGCTACGGCGGCGACAAGCAGCAGCAGGAGCAGCAGCAGAGGAGCTACTTGCAGATAGGAGTGGCTAGCTGCAGCTAGCTGCAGCCAGCTGCAGCTAGCCGTAGCTAGCTAAAACTACTGCAGTGGTTAACAGCCAGCCTTGTAGGCTGCCCCTGGCTAGCTAGCTAGCTAGCTGGTCAGCTGGCTGGCTGGCTGGCTGGCTGGCTAGCTAGCTAGCTAGCTAGCTAGCTAGCTAGTTGTCTTCTATCTAGCCTAGCTAGCTAGCTAGCTAGCTGGCTAGCTAGGTAGGTGTTTTCTTTGCATGCAGCTGCTTCGCCGCCGCGGCCTCCTCGCCACTGTTGGGGTGTACGTACACCCCAGAGCCACGCGTTTTGCTGCTGCCTCTGCATTTGCATTTTCTTTTTTTCGCTCCCAAATGTTTAAACTGACTCTATTCTCAGCGCAGCAAGAGCCTGAAAGAGCAGCTGGCAGCAGCAGCAGCTCTGCAGAGCAGCAGCAGCAGCAGCAGCAGCAGCAGCTCTGCAGAGCAGCAGCAGCAGAAGCAGCGCCTTTTGCGGTTCTGCTGCAGCTGCTGTGGTCTCTGCTGCAGCGCCTCCGTCAGCAGCAGCACCAGCCGGTGCTCCTGCTGCTGCACCGGCGCTGCTTCGAGCTTTCACTTTCTCTTAATACCACAGCAGCAGCAACGGCAGCCACGTCAGCAGCAGCAGCAACAGCGACAGCAGCAGCAGCAGAAACAAGGAGCAGCAGCAGCAGCAGCAACAGCAGCAGCAGCAGCAGCAGCACGGTGTGGGGGCTGCTGCTGCTCGTTTAGCCGCGGGGCTTCGGGCCGGAGGCTTAGAGTTGGTTCTTCGGGCGCAGCTGCGAGCCCCCTGCTGCTGCTCGCTGGCCCTGCTGCCTCGTTAGGAAGTCCTCCTTTGCTGCTGCTGCTTTGTGGGGTTTTAATAATAGTTTTAAAGTTAAGAAGTGGAGGGATTTGGACTTTGCAGCAGCTTGGCGGGCGCTGCTGCTGCAGCGGCGGAAGCTGCGGCGGGCAGCCGCAGCCGCAGGCTCCACTGCCGCTGGCTGCGAGGGCTTTGGAGGCGAAACGGAGAATATAAACGAAAAAAGAAAAGTATTTGCGGAAATGGTTTTAATTTTGGAGAGAATTTCCGGAAATGGCGCAGAAAGCGAAGCAACTGGCTGAGGCGTGCGCCGATGCGGCAGTGCTTTGGGGTGTACGCGCAGCTCTGCGATCATCGAGACGCGGCGAGTGTTGAGGAACTTTCAGAAATGTTTTTTTTTCGTTTGCAGCTTTCTTTTTAAAGGTTTAGAGAATCATTTTCAGAGCCATGTGGCGAGAGAGAGAGGCCTGAGAGGAAGCTGCGGGGGTTCGTTGCAGGTTTCTGCACAGCCCGTTCAACTTGCAATTCAACTTGCCTGTCGCTGGGCTGAGGGCGTCGGAGGCCAGCGGCCTTCCCAAACCCTAAACCCTTTTTTAGTGTTTGGCTTAGAATGAAGGGTTTGAGTTGCTGCGGCGGTTCCCCTTTGTTGCAGCAGCAGAGCCCAGCTGGGAGGCCCCCCACTGCGCACTTCGCCCTCCACTTCGCCGCGGCTTTCCCGCTCTTCGGGACTGTCTTTGCCGCGTTTTATTTCGCAGTCTTTTGCTGCTGCATCGGCAGCTCGCAGGCCTTCAGCAGCGCTGCTGCTGCTGCTGCTGCTGCCTTCCGGGGGCCCCCCCCGCACCTGCTGTTCTCGGGCGGCGGGGGCCCCCGCGAGGCCTCCCTGGCGCTGCAGCAGCAGCCGCATGGCCCTCTTGCTGCAGCAGCTGCAGCAGCTGCTTCCAGAGAGTCCCCACTTGCTGCTGCAGTGCCTCGAGATGAGCAGATGAAGGGCGGCAGCCCTCCTCCAGCCCTTTCCCCCGCGCCCGCCGACGCCCCCCCGCAGCAGCAGCAGCAGCAGCAGCAGCGGCAGCAGCAGCAGCAGCAGCAGCAGGGGGGGGAGGAGGAGGCGCTTCTGGAAATGAAGCCCCCTGCGGCGCGGGAGGCGGCGGCGCCCATTCAGGTGTATGTACAGTCCAGAGACGCTGCGAGAGGCCGCAGCAGCAGCAGCAGCAGCAGCAGCAGCAGCAGCAGCAGGTCTTTGCTGGGGTCGCTTTTTAGTTGGTTCAGAAAAGATGCTGCTGCAGCAGACTTTGCTGCTGTTGCTGCTCTCGCCCAAAAACTCCACCGCTGGAACCTCCTCAGGCAGCAGCAGCAAAACAAATCCAAAACGAAACTCATCTTCGCCATGAGACACGGCGAAAGCAAGTTCAACGTCTGGCGCAGAGAGTCCTTCGCCAAACTCAGGTTTAGAGGTCCTGCTGCTGCTGCTGCTGCTGCTGCTGCTGCTGCTGCTGCTGCTGCTGCTGCTGCTGCTGCTGCTGCTGCTGATTCTGCTGCGACACGAGGTGGCTGTGTTGCTGCTGCGCTTGCTGCTGCTGCTGTGGTGATTGACTTGGTGGGGATTTGTCGCTGCTGTTGCTGCTGCTGGTGGTGCCTAGTTGACGTAACGCGGACCTGCTGCTGCTGCTGCTGCATGTTGCTGCTGCTGCTGCTGCTGCATGTTGCTGCTGCTGCTGCTGCTGCTTGTGTGTCTCAGATATGCTGAGACGAGACTGGGGCGAATGCGATGTGCCTCTGTCGGCAGCAGGAGAGCTGCAGTGTACAGACGCAGGGGCGCAGCTGGGCCGGCTGCTGGCAGCAGTGCGGCAGCTGGAGCAGCAGCAGCAGCAGCAGCAGCAGCAGCAGCAGCGAAGCCCCGCGAAGCTGCTCAGGCCTTTCTGCGTGGACGCCTTCCTCGTGTCTCCACTCACAAGGGCGCTGCAGACAGCTGCGAACACCTTCTACGGGGCGGACCCGAGCTGGCAGTGCAGCGGCGCAGCCCCTGCTGCTGCTGCTGCAGGTGCTGCTGCTGCTGCTGCTGCTGCTGCAGCAGGGCCGCGGGCAGCAAGCGCGGGGGGCCGCAGCATACGGTGGCTGGTGAGCGCGCTGCTGCGCGAGAAGATGTCGACGAAGGGAGACATTGGGCTGGAGAAGGAGCAGCTGCTGCAGCGGCTGCTGCTGCTGCAGCAGGCCGGCAGCATCCAGGAGTGCGTGCTGGACTTGGGGCTGCTGGCGGAGGGCGACGAGTGGTGGGCGCCCGAAATCGAAGAACAGTTGGAAGCTCTGAACGAAATCTTTGCAGAAAGCTTGAAGAGCAGCAGCAGCAGCAGCAGCAGCAGCAGCAGCAGCAGCCAGCTGTCGGACACGGCGAGCACGGCGGCCTCGGAGAGCGGCGGCGAGCAGCAAAACGATCAAGTCCTCGCTCTCGGGAAAGCAGCCAAAAGACCCTTAACTGCTGCCGAAGGGGCCGTTCGAAGGGCCCTGGAGATCGCAGAAAAGCCCGCGAGAGCGCCGCTGGCCGCCCACCGCAGGCTCAAGGAGTGGCGGCTCCGGAATGGAAAGCTGCCGATATATCAGACGGTGGCCACCGAAAGCGCCACTTTGCTGGACCTTCGCGCCAAATTGCTCTTGTCAGTTCTTTGTAGAGCCGAAGGAATGGACTCCGCCTTCATTGTGAGCCACTCTTTGTTCCTCAAGGCGCTCACGGGCACCCGGAAATTTGCAAATGCGGAAATCCGCGTCTTCTCGCTCGTTTGCGACGGCACCCCGAGACTGATCCCGCTCTAAAACCAATTCTACACTTTTGTTTCGAAAATAAAAGGTATTTAATGCCAAGACCGGCGCACTGAAGACGGCGAACTCGGGTATGTGAACAGACAGCAGAACCCCCGCCGCGCGGCGCTGATCTGCTGCGCAACTCCTCGGTTTTTTTGTTTCGCAAGAAACGCAACACAAATCAGCCCATTCACGAAATGCAGCTTTCAGACAGACTCATGTTGCTGCTGACTTTCAGAAACAGCAGCAGCAGCAGCAGCAGCAGCTGGAGCAGCTCTGTCCGCTTGTGCACAGTCGCATCTGCAGCTTCTGCACGAGCCGGCTGCAGTTGCAGTCGGCAGGTCTCTTTGCGTGGCAAAGATTGTCGTTCTGGCACTAAGAGCTTCTCAAGCAACGAATGTTTCTATAATTAAATGCAGCTTTGGGCCAAAAACGCGTTGCTGCTGACTGGCAGCAGCGGCACACTCCCTGTAGCCAGATCTGATTCGCAGCTTCTGCAGGGGGGCCGTCTGCAAGTGCAGTCGTGTCTTTTGCGGGAAAGGTAGAAAGGGTCTTTCTGGCACTATACAGCTTCCAGAAAAGCAAACAAATTTGACAAAAGTGGGGAACACTGACAGCTTCCCATGAAGAGTTCCGGCCCCTAGCTAGCGCACAAGTCAGTATTTGGGAGCCCTGCCTGTCAGGCTGCACATTTCGTAGCCTGGAAAACAAAATAAACGGAACAATCGGAAGTTCTGCGGTGCGACAAGCCTGGGCTGTAGCCTGCGAGCCACCGCAAGACCAAGGCGGAGTCTGCTGCTAGATTTTCGCGCCACAGGCCCTCCCCGCAGTTAATTCCCTCCATTTCCTTCCATAATTCCGGAACTTTCTTAAATTTCCTTTTTAATTTGCTGCTGCTTCGCGGGGAAGGGCTCAGAGCGCAGTGACGTACGGCTTTCTGCTGCAGTGCAGCAGCAGCGGCTTCGCACTGGCGTTGCCCATGGTGCCGCGGCCGTCGAGGGCACTGACCAGGTGGGAGTGGGTGACTGCGAGGAAAGTCGTGGGGTCAGATCTGCAGAGAGTCTTCAGCAGCAGAGAGGCCCTGAGTTTCAAATGCTCCCAAGACTCTTGTTGGGGGGGCCCGGCGTTGCCGACGGCTTCCCAGAAGTTGTGCATTTTGTCGGGCTCCACTTCGGAAAGCAGCTGCCGCTGCCTCGCAGTGACTGCGGCCTTCACGGACTGCTCCGCAGAGGACAAGGGCGCGGGCGAGGCCCCGCCCAGACTCAGCAGGCTTCTGTTTCCCAAGCGCCTCTCCACAGTGGTGGCTGCGCCGGGGGGCTTAGAGCCATTGGCGCTGCTGCTCTGGGGGTTGTGCACTGCGGGGAAGTCCTCGAGAAGCCTCTGGAGGCTTTCTTTTGGGTCTATGAGCCACCAGCGAAAGCCCTGGGGAACTGCGGCGAAGTCGAAAACGGCCGGGAGGATCGTTTGGCGCAAATACAACTTCTGCAGCCGCTCCCGCAGCTCCCCGTACTCCGTGCCCATGTCCGACAGGTTCGTCAGCTTCTCCCGCAGCAAAGGGTCCACTAGCCAGGGCAAATGGCCTTCGTCTGTCCCCCCCGAGGCCTGCGAGGGGCACCGCATGCGCTCCCCTACGCCCCCGAAGATCAAGCTCGCGGTCTGCAGCGTGCGGGTCATGGGCGAAACCAGGAAGCTCTGGAAGCAAAAGTCCCGCGAACCCAGCGAGTCCAGCAGCTCCATCAAATACAACATCTCGGCACCTGCAGCGCGACATTGTTCCCGGCCCTTCGGCGAAAGCGAAGGGTCCACGGGGCCCCAGCTCTTCTTCCTGATGTTGCTCCCTGCAGCAGCCACTCAGCACAAGTCCGGGCAAGTCGGGGCTTTGGAGAAGTTCTAAAGCCCTTTAAGCCCCAGAAAAGTCTCAATAAGCAAAACAGAAATTGAAATAATGCTAGGAAGTGCGCTTGCGCAGTTGCACGTGCACATTTGCCAGTTCTGCACTCTCCCGTGCTGCGAAATCATGCCACAAGAGCCCACTGTGGAAAGCTGAATCGGTGTTCTTAAGCGCGACACAACAACTATGATCCAGAAAAATATCAAGAAAAATAAGGAAACTACTTGATAATTTGGATTAATTTCAACACTGAACTTGAATTTAAACCCAAACCCACACGCGAACGAAGCCATTCCCGTGAGAGTCCGGAGGCGCTGGTTGGCGGTGCTCTGCGCGTGGCGCACAACCACCAAAAGCTTAGTGCCCCTGTGTTCTGGATTTTTCTGAGTTTTCCATTCATGAATTTTCCCTGCAAGAGCCTGCAGCTGGCGCCTGCGGCGAGCCGCCGCGCTGCAGGACCTGAGCCCGCAGTCGCAGATCGAGGGCTCTTCGCACTCTCCCCGCAGCGCCTTGAGGTACTTTCGCCGCGGCCCCAGCCCGTCTTCCTCCCCCGAAGCTGCAGGGGGCATCAGCAACTCCATTTCCTCTTCTTTGCTGCTCTGGGGGGGCCTCCCGCGGCTCACTGGCACCATATTTCCGTACAACTTGAAGCGCGGGATGGCGATAGCAACAGCTGTGGTGATGGCTGGCGCCCACTGGGTCTTCAGAGAGCCGCCAGTTTCCCCCAGGCACCAGAGCAGTGCAGCTTCGAGCCACAGGAGGCGCATTGTGGCCAGCGGAGGAGGCTCTCGCGGCGGGAAGAGGGGAAAGGCGGAATCCCAGGGATATTTGAAGTCAAATTTGTCTTTCTGCGCTCCAATTCATCAAGAGATGTGCACAGAGAAGAGAGAGGTCGGCCACGAACCAGAAGATGAACCCTGCGGTCTCTGTCGATGCGGCGACAGCAGCACCTCCCCTTCAGCGGAGGAGCAACAGAGCCTTTCAGTGTCTTCTTAGGTGTAACTAATCCTTTTTCAAATTCAGTTTAAATTGATGCGGCACCTTTAAGAAAGGGGAAAAAACGCCTCGCACACGTCCGCGTCCCAGTGGTCCCTTCCCCCGAGCCCGATTCCGGCCCGTGAGGACGTCCGCTGCGCGTTTAGGTGCGATCTCCCATGAAAGAAAACACAAAAATTGTGTTTAAAGTTTGCAATTGGGGCAAAAGATGCCGGAAGATGCCAAAAACAGCTCGCAGACATACCTTGTGCTGTACCGGAATGGAGCAGCTCCCGAGGACCAGTGCTGTGCTGGGTGGTCACTGGTGCTCTCATATGGTCCCATCCCCCAAGAAGGTCTTTCAGGCCTCTCGAGTCCTCTCAAATACTTCAAGAAAAGTGTAAACCTAATAATTAGAAGGACAGGAAACCCCGGAGGGCAGAAATACTCAGCTTTCTCTTTGAGTTGCCTAGAGAACATGACTTCGCTACTGCTGCCCGATACTTGTTGTCCCTGGGCGTGTGGGCCAATGTCAAAAACAAATGCAACTAAGCTCCACTTTGTCATATTCCCCTATTCGTGTCTATTTTCAGCAACTTAGAAGAGTTCAGGACGCAGTGTGCTGCAGCTCGACACAATCCCGATCCGCAAACCTAGACCGCTTCCGTAGTAGCCAGCTGCAACAACTACCGACGTTTGGAGACAGTACACGGGATAAAAGGAGAATCGGCAAATTTTCCTCTTTTATAAACAATGAGTTGGGTCTATTCAGACAATAGTGATCCGTTAAGAGCGTGCGAACAGACGGACGAGGCACTAGGGCCGATGCTACAAACCTGTCCGAAGGTGCAAAGGGTATAGGCCTACTTGACGTTCATCTGTTCGCAGTTTTCCATTCTACTTTTTATTTTTTGTGCACATTGCTCTCTTTTTCGGCGAGTGGCTGTAGAAATCCTCGAGCCCTAGCCATCGACGCCGCACGCAGGCACGCAGGCATCTCAACAGCCCGTAGAGTGTTTTTGAAGACGAGACTTTTTTGCCTTACACACAGCAAAATATGCCAAACGATACCCTTCGCTTCACCACTGTGTTGTGTAAAGGCGAGGGGAAACTGCGGCCATTGGTTTTCATTGATGCGTCTGTTGTTCCCGAAAGTTAGCTTCCACGTAACAATTGTCACTGAGTATTCGGCACTCAGAGGCGTGTGTACAATAACATGCTCGAAACCAACAAAACAGGAAATTAAACTGTGCCGGTGCCGAGTGCCTTTTGGAAGGCTTGAGTTGTCGACAGAGTGATGACGCCTGCACAGCTGTGCACCACCTCAGATATTTGCAGTTTCTTCTAGCTTGATCAGGACTTCAAAATAAGAAGCGATGCAATATCCAAAGAACAAAAGGGAACTTGAAGGAACGAAAAGAAAGCGGAAAACTGCATTTTTAACCACTTGCCGTAACAGCTCCGCAGAGAAAGGGTTAAAAGTTGGTAAAATGATTCGAAACATGATATCTATCTAATGGAAGCATTCACCACTTTCCTTCATCTTCTCGAAATGCACACATTTTAAAAGTATATTCAAGGGTTTTGACGCCTACCGGCTTACAGAAGAACGGGAGAGAGAAATGCTACACCAAGGCGTAAGATAAACAAACCAAAAATGTGAGGGAAGATATGGCACAAAGTCATTATAAAAGGAAAGGCTAATTGCCTGCAATTGGCACAGAGACAAGCTTGGACTTTGAACTTAACGGGCCATTAGTTTGCAACTCAGCAAGCACCGCAACCCTGACTTGTAATCTGAAATGCCAGGAACAGGCACAAGAATGAGCGTCAATAAGACGGAAATTTCGAGAAAGAAAGCACAGCATTGGCATAGAAGTCCATAATTTCACGGGGAATCAGCTAGGCCAAGGCGTGAGCACAGACGTATGTTAACACAAACAAAGTAGTGCTTGGGCATGCAGGCATTTTGCTGTGAAAAGACCCACCGGAGCAACACTTTTCGTTGAGACCAATCCCTCAGTCATAAGATTAAAAAGAAAGGAAAATCCTGTCCTCCTACGCACCATGCAGCGGCGAGTTTCAGTTAAGTTTCTCTATTATCAGGCCAGCTAGAACTTAAGGCCCGAAAGCGAGCTAAGAGGTTACCTGTCTTGCCCACACGTCCGTCCGTCTTTCTGTCAAAACCCGAATATCTTAATGCTCATTTTGAATTTCATTCGTGAACGCATTTGGCCATGTACAACGGGAGAGCCTGTCACCTAGTAGTATCCACTGTTACGAAAATAAATACTCGTGAAAAATTGAAGATGCATTTGTTAAAGAATACAGTTTTTCAATTGTCCTCTGCTGCGGTCACCAGCGCTATCACAAAGAGCAAGTTAAGGGGTTTAACGAAAATTTCCGAAAGAAGAAAAAGCAACCTGCTGCTGTATTGTTACCTGGCTCGAGCCTTACGGGGCAAGTGGCGAAATCCCACGGTAGAATATGGAGGATTACTCGGGATAAAAAGCAAATTTGAAAAGATGAAGGCCCCCCTATACTGGGATCGAAAGAAGTGTTTCACTGATCACATTCGTGAAAGATTTCCATATCCGCGCACAAAAGCGAATATGTGGCTTCATGGATGGGCCGAAGGCTCAGTTTGAGAAGCAGATATTTCACTGCTAGACTATTGCATTTCTAGATGTTTAGTATGTCTTATTTTGTAGGGAATTAGCGGCTAAACAGTCACGGTCCGCAAAGAGTGCACTGCAGCGGGTCTAACCGTTTGCATATAAGTATCTTTAGGGCGCGGGCACCACTGGGCGTGAACAGCGTAACTCAGCTACAAATAAATGTGCATGGTCTGTGTCTGCAGCAAAAAGCAGTGTCAGGAAAAGAAAGAAAGAAATGCCGCGTTTTATTGCGTATTATTACTCATTATAGGCATTGTCGATGTCTCTAGGTGCATAGATGACAATGTACTTCCAACAAGCATTTTAAGCCTGCTGGCAGAGGACATTTTGCAATGTCTTTCGATAATGAAGGAAAAAACAATTGCATGTTCTGCATGACTTTCTTCAGTTTCTTACAAAGATGAATCTTCCATGGAAGTGTCAATTGATTTCCTAAATAGCTGGGCTCAGGAGCTTCACCGCATTTCTGCTTTGCATGGCGAGAGAATTCAACTCCATTCACTTTGGCCAGATTCCTGTGAGTCCTCTGAGGAGGAGCTATTGCTTCTTCCTCTCCCACTGATGTCCTGCAACCCCTCCAGAAAATGCAGAGTAGGCACTGGACCGCAGGTCAACATAGCCACTTTTATGGTCGCTGAGCCAACAGTGCTGTGTCTTGAAAGCACTTTCAAAAATCGTTCGTGTGTTGTGATCAAAGCGGTGCTTAGTTGCTCTGCTTTGCATAAACTTTGCAGCAGTATCTTTCCCCTGAGCAGTGCCTCCTCCTCTGATTCCCGAGGAGGCATCTCAGTGGACGTTCCTGAGTCAACGGTGCTGAGCAGAAGTGCTTCTGCCACGTCAAGTGCTGTCTTGAGGGCTTTTGAACCTTTAGATGGAGGAAGAATATCTGGATACCCGATTGCGACGACACTGGAAGCGCTGGAGCCTGCGGCCAGGCCTGCATCCCCCTCGTGGGGCTCTGCAGTCACCCCCGCTGCTGCTGCTTCACCAGATTCTGAAGATGGCGTGTCGGAGAACAACTCACGAGTTCTTTCAAGAGCATCCCGCAGTTGAGTTTCGCTGTTGGTGTACCACCAAGGTTGTTCCGGAGCCATGGCCCCCGTATCAACAACGGTCCTTTCCAATTGTACAGTTTCAAAAAATCGAGTTAGACGCTTCAGCAACTCCTGAAGTTCTGTTCCCACGTCGGCTAAACCCTCTACTCGTTCACGCACCAGTGGACTAAGCAGCCAGGTCACTCGGGTTCTGGTTGTCTCACTGTAGTGAGGATCTTTGCATGCAATATCTTTGCCCACTATGGCGGTCGCTTTGCTGGCAGTTTGTATGGCAGCCGTTAGCGGAGAGCTGACGAAAGCGTCAATACAAAATGATGGATGTCTTGTTCCATTTTTGCGTTTTTCGCACTTTTGCACGTCCTGGACCATTTTCAAAAGCTCTCCATTGAGATCCAGTGCATCGTCCTCAGCTTGGGTGGAAAGTGGGGGATCGATTTCAACGCTTTGGTTCCTCCGGCTTCCTGAGATTCATCAGGTGCAAATATTAAAAAGCCTGTACATGAATTTAGCACACTTTACTAGTTTCACCTGTTCCAAGCACTGCATCTCTCTAAACAACTTGTGCTTGTTTCTTCCGCAAATGATTAGGAAGAAAAGAAGGGGGATTTAGGCTTGTTAATATGAAAGATGCTAAAATGCTTACTCATACCGCAGCAGCCCGCAGACTGCTCTTGTCCTGCAGTGGTCAAGAAAATGAGCAGCTTTGATGGCGCTCCAAAACTGTGCCTTTCGAAAACATGCCAGTCGCATATTTCGCTGGCGAGACGTTTCCATCTTCTTTTATTTGCAATCGTCTGGCCTTTAAAGAGTTTCCGTAGATAGAGCTGGACCGCTGGCCTGCGTCTTCGGTGGCGGGCTTTGCCTTTGCCTCGCTCTGTAGACTCATTTTCTGGCTCCGCCCCTTCAAGCGCCAGCAGCTGCTCTGTAGAGCCTCCATACGAAACTGATCCTCTGGGGGGCAGCTTGACGGCCTCAGCAGTCTGTGGAGTCGACGGCCAGCTGAGGTCAATTACAGCAATGGGTAAAGCTAGGCACACCGAAAGAATCCATACAGCTGAAACACGGGCGCCCAGGAGAAGCCAGCGTTTCCCAAGACGCGGGGCAAAAGAAGCCCAAGTTGACTCCATTTTTAGTGCATAACCAGAATTATGCAGAACGGAAGATGTCGGGTGTTGCTGCTCTTCAACTTTGGAAGGCTCGAAACAAACACGGCATGCTTTCGCCTTCAGTCACCTCGCGACCACTCCTGTTCTGTCGTCTGCTCATTAAAATGTCATTTAGAGCCAATCACCTTCAATTAATTACCTGCCCTATGCACCTTTTAATGGCGTTTCCGTGCAGTGAGCCGGGGTCGCCACGGGTCGATGAGTCCCCTGGTGTCGCGTGACACTGTCGACTGCACACACTAAAAAAATGAACACCAGAGGCGACAATGCTACCACTGAGTACTGAATTTTTTAATGTGTCTTGAAACCGAAACTGATAAATCCCACAGTGAGCGCCCAGGGAAATGGGCCTCCTGGGGACCGCGGATGGTCACAAGGGTGCGCCGAAAATGGAGGCTTCACAAGTGAATGGCACTCGTTTTGAAGCATTTAAATAGATGTAAACATTTTCAGCTAGACTAATTAATGCAAAATTAACCGTACTGTGCCTAGGTATAGTCTTCATTGACACCTTTTAAACAGTTTCAAGCGGAAGGCTGAGCTACACACCCTCGTACTCTGAAAGCGTTCCCACGAGACAGGAGCCTACCGGGGCAAGACTTAGCCATGAACAACAACTCCATACCCTACGCCGTTATTATGAACATTAAACCCATTAAGGGTTTTAAGGCTTTTGATAGACTTTCGCCAAAATTTTCGCGGCCCAGAGGGCTTTTCTTGGGGAAAGAGGTAACGGGGAAGACCGAGCAGCAAAATCACTTGCTGCTGTTCACCAAAGGACACCAAGCTTTGCCTTCTCCGCCCTCTTTATAAATGCAAGAGCCCTCCGCCTACCGAATCACTTAATCCTGAAGCATTTAAGTAGGATGTAGGGGGCGTCGCCCCAGACAGATGCGAGAAAGCTACAGTCGAAGCAAAACATTCCCGCCGAGCCACTGTTTCGAACCTGTAGCTCCGTATTTGATCATCACGTCTGCACGGTGGGCTTTGGATGCTCCTAGAGCGTTTTTTTTCTCCACAAAAGTAATTGTTTCAGCTCCAAGAGGCGGAGTGTGGGCGAACTGTTAGTTGTCTCGAGACTTCGGATTTTACTGAATAAACAGCGCCACAGCCGCGCAAAACAACAAAAACAGATGCTTAAACATTAAATACAGTTCACGAGGCTGCGTTTTTGGCAACTTTCGAGCATTACGGTCTTTGGATTGCCGCGAACGTGCTCTTGCGCCACCATAGCACACCATGGGACCGTCTGCGCACGCTCGTGCGTACGGAGAAAGCACAACACTGAATAACTTGTTTTATTAGATATCGTAGTGCTGGGCATTTGTTTCAATAAGGTCAATGCGTTCAGTAGGCTCCTCTTCGTTTGTGAGTACTAGATTTCAACCCCTGGAAATGACCGCTGTTCCACAAAAAATGCTTACGGCTTCTCATCTAAGGGTTTTTAGTACTCACATGAGTTTAAGGTTGTTCGAGCACTACACTTGTTTCCAGTTGAACTTTAAGAGTGAGAATCGATGTCGGGATAGCCGCGTAAGCTGAACCTTGCAACTCTGTGGTCCACTGGACAGGCACGCACTGAAGACTTGGCAGTGTGGTGGGCCCAGGCTCGCGCTCTGCGGAATTTGTTGCAAAAGTTAATGTCAATTGATTCTGGTAATGTTGTGGAGGAGAGTTGTGATAGATTGGCTTCAATTGTCACAAACCAAAAGAAGCTTCCGCGGGTACTTACCTAATAAGCAACGGCTTGTGCTACTATTTTTTGACGCTCTAAGAGGGCAATGCTGCATTACGCTACAATGCGATATAACACAGGAGTCTCGAGCTGCCGTTTCACCCTCCATGTAAATAGATCTAGCAGCAAGACAACTCTGAAGCAGTGTCGCCAAAAGGACCGAGTAAGCCTATTTTGCCTTTGTCCTAACACCTTCTTTCACCCAATTTGAATAACTGCGCTTTAACTGCTAATTTGCTGGGCAGGTGCACTTTAATATGCCTGTTGTTATGCCTGTACCAACTCTGTCCCAAACTGCGACGAAACGAAATGCCGGGAGCCACTGGATGCGCTACTAATGCCACTTACTGCAGCTACCGCAGTCTAATTTTGAACGCGCATCTGATCTAATATTCTGCAAATCAGCAAAGTTCTAAAAGTGTTGATGGGGCCCAAAAATGATGCTTGCTGCAGCAAGAGTGGTTCACAGCGGCGTGCACTGCACGTAAGTCGGGTTTTATGTAACTTTGTCTTGCAGAAGTAGAAGGCCAGAAAAGCTGATGGCTGAATTATGCGCAACTCAGGCGCTACCCCACGAGCCCCATAAAGGTAAATAATATTATCTGATAGAGCACAGTGAGAGGAAAGAGTAAAACAGCATACGCTTTGTAGAAGAGATCTTGCAGCTGGCTGTGCGGAGCTGCCCTATGACTTCTTGTTTTTTGCGCATTGTGCAAGCAGCGCAAATGAAGCAAGAATTCGTTTATCAGCTTCTCATGGCACAGCGCCACCAACTCTGCGTGACTGCAGCGAATTGAAGCACAAGCAGAGATAAAAACTGAAGAATATTAAATGAAGTTGATGTGAGTTTAAAATAAATCGAAAGAAGCGGGAGTGACAACCTTCGAAGCAGATTTCACGCCTTTACATTCGATCGCAGGTTTGTAGATAAATTCCTCGTCCCTGCTTTTAATGTGCCTTTAAGTACATGAGTATGCAACAATTTAGAATTCACAATTTAGTCACTAAACAGAGGGGCTTCTTGAGCCGAATCAACGGACCGAGACAATGATAAGCCACACAATCAGATTCATGTCCACTGGCACAGCATGTACCAGCAAAGGCAAAACACGCCAGACAAAATCTTACCTCAGTCAAGGAAGCATTTGTGGATAGCTTTTTTATGGAAGCACATTATTTAATTTCCATGCTTGCCATCTTGGAAATTGCTGTCCAGGCTCCTTTGCTGCCGAGTCAGGGGCAACTTATAGAAAACTTGAAGGTATATTGCTAGTTGTTTTGTATGAAGAACTATCTTTCCATCTCAGTAAAGCTATACAGGCGTCATTTGCATCTGTCGATTTAGCATTTTGTATCCGGTGCAACTAAGTGTGGCGGCTGTAGAGTTCATTGTAGAATAGTCAACTAGCAAAAGACAATTATAGTTTTCCGGTGCTACTTTAGCTCGCCATTATCGTCTGCGTAGGAGTTTTTCTGATACACCCCGGTGATCATATGCGACAATGGCTCGGTCCGACTACACCCAGCTTTCCGTGCCTTTTTTTCGCGAAGCTTTTGGCAAGAAAGAAACCAAAGGCGAGATTCTCGAGGGCGTTTGGGCTTTAAGCAGATGTATGCAATCAAGAGGACGCACGATTGACAACCACAACGAAGGAGAAGAAGAATGGGATAAAACAATCAAATTAAAACACTGGGGGGTAGCCCACAAGCATGATAGCTGTCAAGCTACCTGAAAACCCCCCAAAGCTGTCATTCTCATGGCCTCCTGTTTGAAACACTCAAAAACATTTCTTGCCTCAAAGGAGACCCAAAATATCTTGACTAAAACACATCTAGGTCAAGTCCTTAGCGTACAGTCAAAGGATGATCAGATGCGGCGGAATGGTCTTTGATTCAACCACGATCTACAAGACTTTCACATTCCCCATAACGCATCGACTCTTCCTCGCTTCCCACATCTATTCTCTCCAGGCTGGCAGCTGTGATAAATCACCTAAGCTTTGCCGTATCGACTCCAGAGGCGTCTTCGGACTTAATACCGTCAAGCTCGGCTCTACTCCGCATGATAAAATGGCATATTTCAGCTTTGCTGGCGAGACGCGCTCCCGTAGCAACTTTTCCAGAATCCTCTTGTGAGAGACGAGCAAAACCGTATTAAGAGCTTCTGTTTTGCACAGCACGTGTAATATCACCTTCCCTCTAAGCTTTACGAGTTTACCCGACTCCCGATCAGGCCGCTCGGCGTTTGCTCCCTCGTCATTGCGGTTGTGGAGCGGTCCTTCCACATATTTAATTGTATCTCTGAGTGCCCGTGCTCTTGCAGTTAAAGGTATCACCTCCGGGTCTCCGATATGGACTACAGTGCTTTGATCCGCGTTTGTCGCAGTGCTTGCAGCTTCGCCTGCTTCCGTCCCTTCTGCCGCAGCTGTCTCCTCACCTGTAGCCGAATACTTGTCAGACGAAATCTGTCCTGGGGCCCCTAGACGGTTCCTTTGCAAGATGGTCTCCAGCTCACCTTTGGTGTAGGGGGTCCACCAAGCTTCTCCTGCTGCCATGGTCTCGATATCTATTGCAGTTCTCGCTATTTGCATATTCACGTAAAGCTCGTGGAGGCGAGCAAGTAATTCGTTTAATTCCGTGCCAGTCTCATTCGGGCCGGACAATTGTTCACGTAGCATGGGATCAACCAACCACGTAACTCGGCTTTTCTCCACTATATCTTGGTGGGCGCTTTTGCAAGCCATTACTTTGCCCATCTGTACCGTCGATATACTGGCGGTTTGTAGACCAACAGTCAGGGGAGAGGTGACGAACGCATCAATACAAAAACTCGGAGGCTGCCTTCTATTAATTCGACTCTCGCATTTGTGGATCTCCTCAAATAGTTCGTCAAACGCTTCATTGACCCGGAATGCCTTTTGTATGTCTTTTCTGGATAGACTTGGATCGGTGTCAGCAAGCACTTCACTTCCCTGGCGGCGGAACCGGGCTGAAAGAAATCGGACAGAAGCACATTTCTTCGTACCAAAACTAGGGTGGGTATGAACATTCATCTCCTGCTACAGAGCTCTATTTTCATCTAGAGGGTGGATAGTGTTGTACTATTTGGCACGACTGATGGTTGCTAGCTTTCCTGTAATCATTCAATTTGCCGGCCTGAACCTTGGAGAAGACTTACGCATGGTGCAGCAGCCCCCCGTAAGCACTTTTTTATTGAACTCGTTAGCCCCATCCTCATTCGCATCAGGCAAAAAGATTAAAAGCTTCGATGCAGTCACATGCTTATGCCGGTCTCGCAAGTACCAGTGACAGATCTGAAGGGCCAGATGCCTCTTTCGCCTTCGGGCGCTCAGCCACCTGCTGGCAAAGACTCTTGCCACTGCGCGTAAAGGTTTAGGGTAACGTGGTTTACTTGGAGGTGTTTTGGGATTCATGTCGGGAAAATTCTCGAGCTTTTGCTCTTTAACGGGCCCGGCGACCGGCGGTGTACTAGTAGCTGGGTCAAGTTCCTGCAAGTTTTCCACTGAGCCTCCTAATGCCACGGCCCCAGCGTTGGTGTGCCCTAGACCATGAGCATGCTTCAAAGACAAAGATTTGCAGAAGTCAATAGAGAGAAAGCTAAGGACAATAAAAGTAAAAAGAAACAGGAACCTCGCATGGCAGGTGCTCATCAGAAATGAGACGTGCCTTGCTCGCAGCACTGGAATAAACAAACGAAACATTGGGGGGAAATTTTATGAAAAGCGGGGGGGGGAAAAGGATATTATTCTCCTGCTTGTGGGAGTTAAAAACTGCGCAACACTTCGAAGACACACAGGTAAAGGAGGCTTTGTGACCCTTCAAGAGGCCCGTCAAAAGAAAGATGTTTCATCCAAATTGCCTGCGATAATTTTCCAGGTTTCTTTTTATTTACGCCTCAACGTTTCAACGTTGGCTCCAAAAAGGCAGTCGAAGGCGGGACTGTCTTCTGCCGTTCAGAACTACTGAAAGCACGGCTCCTTAATGGAGCGCGCTGCCGACGGCAGAAAAAAGTAAAACACTTGCCAAGAAAGTCTTACTTTTTCAAATGTAGATATAATCTAAACATTTCAAAAGAAGATTTGTGACGAGGGAACACACCGGAGACATCAGTCAAGCCTACTGTGTGCCTGGAAGCCAGACCGGCGAAATAAACCGATTTGCTTTTTCAGGGCGCATGTGTTCCTTAGTGTTTCTGTTGAAATTTCTTGTTTATCAAACCATTCATTTTCTTCAATCATACATCAAGTTTTGAAGCTTAAAAATGCATAAATAATATATTAGTCTCTTCAGTTTTGTTACGGTTTGGCCTGTCGACTGCCCGCCACTGACGAGCACCCGGCACGCACTCCTGCACAAGACATGAAAACCGCAACGAGGAATTCTCAAACTATCGCTGCCTTTGTTTTATCTTTAAAATTTGGTTGTCGAATCACACTAGGGTCACCGAAGTTGAGCAACTTCACCTGAACTGGGGTACGCTGGTTCCCTGTCTGGTCGCTCACGGAGGCTCGGTGCCGCGGCCTTCAGCGGATTCACCATCTACCTCGAGGAACACCTTAGGAAGTCAAGGAAATATGTGCAACAAGCAACAAATCCATCTTCTAAAGTAGCAAGTGCGTCTATTGCTATCATGCGGCTCAGCGTCCAGAGTTCGCAGCTCGATTGAAATGCTATCAGAGAGCACAACGCTGCGCGTAAACAGTATTTCTGAGCAAACAGTGCAAGCAAGGCCGCGCTTTGTTCAATCTGCTGTGGCATTTACCCCTCAGAGGAGGTATCAAACGTTAATTTTTACCTTAAGGCATGAAAGACAGGCCTGTTGCGGCGCAGAGTGCCCGGTAAGGTACCTGTTGCAGGTCATTGATGGTCATAGATTTCACCCTTTTCCCCTGCCCTTTGCCAAGCTGTTGCTCCGTACCTCGGCTTTTTCGGCGCGACTTTGACCTACCCAAATGGAACATGCTGATGGTAAACTTTATTCTGCAAACACGCATTTTGGTTGAACTTTTTGGGCGAAGCTTTCGAGCTGCAAAAAACTCACTCGCACTCCTCAGTTTACTCAGTCCACATCTTGTGAGGGGGTTGGAGTCAAATGATGGCCACTTTCCACTGCTGTCTTCCTACTGGGAAGAGGAAGCGCGCCTTCATTGAAGCAGTGCTGTAGACACAGCACTGCTTGAATGAAGACGCATACACTGCTGCTCTATATCACCTTCTCAGCTCTACCTAAATAACAAATACTTGCCCAATAAACTGTAGCAAAAAAAAACATCCAGTATTTGAGTTGTAGTGCTCATCTGGCTTTATAATGCGGCCACCCCACTGAGGCTTTCCCTGCTGGGCGCTGAGGGTTGTTCCATTTGGCCACTTGGGAGGGCGGGCTGGGGCAAGACGGCAGCCTCTTTCTCCAAAAGAATGCAAAATAGTATTTCATTTTGTGAATTTGGAGGCATATTTCTCAGCATTTCTAGTTCTAAGCACATTCTAATGAGCCCCTCTCAACAAACCACCAGAGCACTCCCTCTAGACTTGCAGGCTAGAGTTTCTGCGGCCTCTACTGAAGCGAAGGACCAGCAAAAGCTGCTTCCTGTCCACACCAGAGAATGCAAGTCGTAAGAAAAAGACTGTACATGATTTGCACACTGACAGCGGGGCCCCAACCCCACCAGGCGAAGTCTCACTACGAAGACACTCCAGCCTTTCATGTGGCTGCGGGGGGTCATGGGAAGTTTGCTGTTCAGCAAAGCTTTGGCTTATTTCTGTTCATAAAAGCTTTAGCTTAAGAGGCAGCACGTGTTGAAGACACTTCGGGTGCAGCTAGAGGGCCTTGACTTCAAACAAAAGGCAGCAGGTTGAGTTGGCAAGAGCAGAGGCAGTTGCTGCTGGCTGGCGCGGCCTGCAGCCGCGGCTATGCAATGTCTTCCGGCCTGGCAGCAGCAGCCATTGCTGCTTCCCGCGCCTGCTGCTGCTGCTGCTCCTGCTGCTGCTTGTGCGTGACGCGGTCGTACTGGCCGGGCATGCGGAAGGTGTTGGTGGCGATGGTTTGGGTGTACATACGGCCCACAATGGGGTGGTAGACAACCTGCAGCTTCACCGTCACTTCGCGGCCCCTCAGGCCCCTCCCTTTGTCTCTAAAATGGTACTTCGCGGGAGTGTTTGGCCAGTCAATCACAGCGACGCCGTCATCCATGATGATGCGGTCAAACACCACCACTTGGTTCGTCGGGTGCTGCGGCGTCTCGTACTCAGCCACTACAAACAGGTACACCTGCTTCGCGTTCCACTGGAACAAACCCCGCAGATCGGCCTTTATGTCCAAAGACAAAACTGCCTGGTCCCCCTGAAACAAGCACAAGCATCAAGTGCAAACAGCGAGAATGTCCTCACCAACAAACGCAAAACAAATGTTAATCAGCGCGGATTCAAACAACATAAATAGCTCCCCAAGGGGAGCAGAAACACCAGAGTACTGCACCGGGCCAGCGCATGCAAGTTCCTGCGCAGGCCACTCTGCGAAGCTGCGGCAAAATAATTCAGAATTGAATTGATAAACTCTTCTAGGCAATGCTCACGTTCAAGGCGTAGTTGTAACTGAAGCCGTACACGTCTTTCACGGCTATGGATCCCGATATGGGGCCCATGAGGAAGTAGGAGGATATGACGTTTCCGATGGCCAGGACACTGAGGCTGACCATAAGTGCGCAGAAAACTGCATTTGCGCGGTTCAAATAGCTTTCCATCTTTGCCGCTGCAAGATTTTTGACTTTAAAATCCCAACAGAGGTGAGTTAAGGCCAAAAAGAGGACCTTTCCGGCTTGTTGCCACCTCGGCTGTCTACGCCTACACCGCCAGCAGCTCGCGAGCTACGTAAACATTCTTATTCCAGCCCCGTCTCAACAAGCACCAAACATCAGTGAATTTGGAAGAAAGGAAAAGAACGAAATGCGTAGAAGGCGCAGCCGAACACGTCGCAGAGCCGCTGAGTTCTACGCCCACGCCATTGCAGCTTACACACTGGAGGCCTGCCGTTTCAGGCACTAGCGGCGCGTGCTGCTAAGAACTTGACTAATGTTCTAGCGTGCGAGTTTCAATAAATCCACTTGAAAACAAATATCAGCCCCTCCCCGTGTCTGAATATACCCCGGATCGGAAACGCAGCAGGAGCAGCAGCAGCCGGCTCCGCTGGTACGCACCCCACCAGCCCTCGTTGGGAGTGCTCGTGTGGCTTCCTGACTGGAAAAGGTTGAATTTTCCAATTCCATAAGTCTAATTTACGCGAATTGTAGCAAATTGGAGAGGAATTTTTTGTTTCCTTCGACTCTCCTTCTCAACCTTTCCTTTCCTGGCCACCCTGTGAATGCCGGTGCATGCGCCGCCTCAGGGAAACCCGCCTACCAATCCTTACGGACTTATTTCCTGAATCTGCTTCTCTTTTTTGGCGTTGGAGGCTCTTATTCATCTTTTTTGTTTGTTAGGGGAAGCCGGGAGGGGCAGCGCCAACCCTTCAGGCCAGCTTTTCGTGGCGGCTGCACCACTTGCAGCCAGTTCGGAGTTGCAGAACGCCGGCTCGTGGGCTGAACATTCATCTTTGTCAATTTTTCTAATCTACAGCTTCTGCTGTATCGTTAAGCAGAAGATCTTCTGGCCGGCGCGCTACCCCGAGCTCTACACTCCTCTTCACGAAAATGACGCACCAAATGAGCAACAAGAAGCTCCAAAAAATTATGACTCAGCCGATTGTAAGGCTGCAATACTTTACCACGCGAGTGCCACAACACTCGGGTTGCTGCAGCTCCCTCGAGATCACCCAGGCTGAATTCTGTGGCTCTTCTCATGTTTTATGTGAAGACTACAGAGTACAATAGAAGGAGAGAGAATGTGCAGGGGCTGTACACTGCATGCACTGTGGGATCCTTGTGGGGACTTGTGGCTATTTTATGAATTTCTGTTGCCTTCGGCTTCATTCCAAACCTTGTTCTGCTGCCTGCTGCCTCTGCAGAACCTGATTTTCAGGTTTTTCACAAACAAGAGTCGAGTTCAGCTTTGGCTGTACGAACAGCCGGACTTGCGCATTGAAGGCCGCATTATGGTGAGCCATGAGCTGCTGCTTCACTTCATGTCCACTTATGCAGCAAATGTTTGGTCTTTTTCAGATGAACTTTGACATTTCTGAACTTGTAGTAGTAGTATTTCATGGAGATCTAGCCTGCTTTTAAGTGCGGCTGTTTGCTGCAGAAGTTTTGCTGCTGTGTTGCTGTTACTTTCTGCACTTCTAAGGCCTAGGGTTTAGGGTTTAGGGTTTAGGGTTTGTTTTTTTCAGGGATTTGATGAATACATGAATATGGTTTTGGACGACGCGGAGGAAATTCACCTCAAGAAGAACACCCGAGTGTTCGTCGGCAGGATTCTGCTGAAGGGAGAAAACATTTCTTTAATTATGAGCACGTAAGACTGAGTCGAAGTAAAACTAAGTTGCACTCTTTTGGCCAGCGAGTTGAACTTGCAGCTTTCTGTGTTCAAGTCGTTTTGAGACAAACTAAATTAGCTTTATTTGTCCAAGTCATGTTTAGACGAAGTGAATATTCTCATTCAAGAGGAACAGCGCACTAAATATCTTGTTAAAATCCTGTTAAGTCCTGTTAAAGTCCTTGAAGGATTTATTATTCGGTGGAGTCCACCTGCTGCGCTGCAGCAGTGTCAGTGGTTGCTGCTGAAGGCCCCGCTTGCTTTGCTGCGGACTTGTGCGCAGGGGCAGCACCAACACGGAGTAGCCGCAGCATTTGTGCAGCAAGGCGGGCTCAGAGCGCTGCTGCTGGAGCGCATGCACTGCATGCATGCACTTAGTGTGTTAATCTGCATGCGTGGCTGGAGCCACACATATGAATGCGCACAGTTGCATGCATGCGTGCATGCAGTAGAGTCCGGTGGGGGGCACGGGAGGGCTTGGAGAGAGGAAAGATCTACAGAGGGAACCACCCCAGGGCGATATCTTGTGCATCGTCTTAGTCGCACTGCTTTATTTTGATCTGTCGCTACGGTGACAGACGCAGGAGGGCGCGCTTTCCAGCGGTCTTTTGTTCAAAACTTTAGCATTTTGCTTCTTCATTTAAGTGAATGAGCAGCGGCAGTCCACCATCGCCAGCTCGAGGCTGCTGCACATCTGCTTTCACCTCCTGTGGGACTCTCCCCAGTTCCAGCAATTCCGCGCCAACGGCTGCCTTGCACTGAACTGCAGCAAATGCAGACAAAAGTTGAAAAGTTGAATAGGGACGAGATGAACAAATAATTGCAATCCAACAATTAGGCATTATTACATCCTTGGAAGAGTTGCTGTTCCCCGCTACAAGCAATGTTCAAAAGCAGCTTAGGAGCTGCTGTTGTCCCGGTTACTTCTGTAGAAACTGTGTAGGGATATCCGCTTATGGGGAAACGGCAACAGCCCCAACGCGGACATTTCCCCTCACAGGTGATGCAGAGCCCTCTGCAGCCATGGTCGTGCTACTTAGAGTTATCAAGTAACTCTGAATCGCCACTGAAGCTGCTGCTATTAATGCGTGCTGAGTTACTGTGGGCGATGACTTCCGTGAGAATTGAATGCCGGGCGTCGTAAACCCTGGCTGAAGCTAATAAGTACTACTACATACTAAAATGATAAAAAACGGAAAAATAACTACTGAAGGCTTTCGTTGTGAAGAGAAAGCGCTAAACAACAACCTAACTGGTACCCCGCAACGCCCAAAGAGGAAAGCGAAGGAAGAGTTACCGATTCCGCCGAAACGGAGCGCGTCACAGATCACAAAAACCATATAGTCCACAAAAAACAAACCCAAAGCACTGCATGCAACACAGCAAATACTTTTTGCGATATGTCGCTCAGACCCGCCCACGCCGATGGAAATGGGGCTGTTCGCCCGATTCCCCTTATCATCAAAGCCGCCACCTTTGCAGGTAGGGCCTCCCTTCAAGGTTCGGCAGGGCGCCTGTCTCATCTTCACGACTTGTGGTGTTGTCTGTCGATGTAGTGGTGAACGTGTGGATCGCCTATAGAAGTGATCCCGTTCGAGTACAGTCGACGATCTTACACCGCTCAGTTGAAGCCCCACCCCAGCTCGCGTGCCAACAGCGAATAAGAGACCAAACGCAGATTCTTGTCCCTAAAACGAACTTTGCATAGGTTCTTATTGATTCTCATGTTTTATTCGTGCAAATTTTTGTATCATTTGCACGAAGTACAGGATTTAGAAGCGGAAGTTCCGTAGAAGGAAACGGATGCCCCACTTCCCAGGTTGCTCTCTACTTCAGAGCAGAGAGCACAGGGTATATGTTTCGCCCTCGAAATTGCATTTTACTCTTAGAAACTACTTTCATTTTAATTTATGTTCTAGTTTTTCGCGCTTAAGGCGTGGTATGCTCGGCATAAGGGGCGAATGACGAAATCATACAATTGGTCACGAGGCTGACGCCTGTTTCGGGCGATGCAACCCTCTCTTGGGGATGTGTTGCTAATCTGTACGATCAATTTTTCACATATAGAACTTTAAATGGCGATGCCATTCAATGAACGTTAAGTGTGAGGCTTACTTTGCGAGAAGGCCATCATTACTCCACAAATGTGGGGTGATCTGCTCGATCTTTCGCCGTGCAGTTCAAAGCATGTGCAGCCAGTCTAATGTGTCTGAAATGAGGTTCAGTTGTGACGCAAAACAAGTGATAGCGTTATGTACACAGAACATTCACTTGTGCCACAGTTACAAGCAGCGTCTCTCATGTTTGGGAGATGAGCACGCAGTCTCGCCCCGACCTACGGCCCGTAGACCAAACGTCTTTAAATTTCGAAATGGCCACACACTTTAACTGTGCATTCTCATGAATAATTCCTGGCATCTGCACCCGCATTCTAAAAGGCTTAAAGGGCACACCAGCAGTAGTGCCAGGTTCAGAGTCTGCTAGGTACATTGGTTTAGTCAAGTAACTGAGGAGTACCGTCCGCAAGGTCATTAGAAAGGAGAAACACTACAGCCATTGTAAAGGCGCTGCCTATGCCTGGGTTAACTAACAACGATTTCAGGGACTTGCTGATTCTTTCACTTACGGAGCTACATGGACACAAACTAACAAGCATGGTTTGTTTGAAAATGTGTTGATAAAATCAGGAAGGGACGGATTGACAGCAAGTTAGGCAACCAGACAGAAAATCATATTAATGGCTTTCGAAGCGGGGTGGCGCTGTACATGGCGCAGCCAACATATTTAGGTTGGTAGGATGTTCTGCATCCGGGTTCGTAAAGCAGCATTCCATCAGCCACAAATATGCCGGGCTCAGTCCACTCCAAGGCGGGTAGTACCTCGTCGACAAAGACATCAGCCTTTCCACGGGTAGACAGCTGGAAGAATTTTGTGCATCTGTTTATGCGTGAGCTCTCTATTGACCACCTCGCCCTTACACTCAAAGTTCTTCTCGTCAAAGGATTTTTTCATGTTTTTGTAGTTCGGGTCGTACATCGGGTCGCTTATCGGGCGCAAGGGATCATATCTTCGCCTTGCCTCAATTGACTGCAACCTGTGGAAGGAAGCAGATCGACAGATCTTCACATAGCAAGAGGCAATTGTACAAACAGTTGCGAAGAAGCCACGGAGAAGAGTACAAATGGACACATTTTACGGTCAACCCAAGGGCAATTTCACTTCACAAAGCAGCAAAGGCGCCTGTGCGGATTTATGCAGCTCACCGGACGCTCTCGTAAAGTAAGGCTATTTGTTGCCGCTCATAAGCAGCCCTGGTCACGAGCTCAGCATTCCTTTTCATGGTTCTTTTATCAGCTGAGTGCATTGTCTCAAGATACTTAAGCCAAGACTGTTTCGTCCAGCCTGCTGGGTAGTAGTCGAAAGCTCCCCTGCAAACCTGAGAAGAGCTCAAATTGACAACACCTGCAGAAATAGGGGCTTCTAGATTGCACATCCACGCCGTTTGAATTTTCTCATTCAGTACAGCTGAATCCCAGTTGTCGTACGGGGCAATTAGAAAGGCAATATACTAGGGTCACATGGCCTTGTTTTGAAAACAAGCATGAAGAGAGGACAAGTGGATTACGTGATTCTCCTGACCCAATCTGGACGGACGCTAGGAGGAGGTGAGAATTCGAAGGGCTTCTTTCCCGTTATAATGCCGATGTCGTCAAGGAATTTGAGCAAGAACGGCGTCAGCATCGGACACTCGAAGCAGAACTGATGGGTGCATTGCCAGAAAGCAATATTGGTTGCGATCGACTCGATATCCGGTCGCAAGACAGATGAACCAAGCACATGTACAATTCCGTTGAAGATTGGAATATCCTAAGGAGCAAATCGAAGGGATGAATCAGGCAGATCTGATATAGTGTTCATGTTCAGGTTCTCTAAGGCATGAAATAGAGACATTCTGACGAGCTTAGCTTCAAGATGCGAATGACTGTTGGAGAAGTCTCTCCTGTGCTTTCTATTAGCAAGCCTGCACCGTTCATACTGGTGACTGACCCATTCAATGATTTGGCGGCCCTCAACAAACGTTGCGAGATCCCCGCAATGGTCAGGGTATTCTTCGTCCTCGTCTTCTTTACTCTCAGCGCTTCCAGGTTTCTTTGCTGCTGCCTTTGAGTCATCGTCAGGCTTGTTGGACCCGCCTGATGATTGCTCTCCCTCTTCGCCGCGCGCCCCAGCGGGAGCCCCTGAACTCCTTGGTCGTTGTGGCCTTTCTTGAAGCAGCCGAGGCAGCAGTCCCTCGTAGTCTATATCGCTGTATTCCAGAGCCTCTGTTATACCTTCGGGAAGGATTCCATGCATGATCTTCGTGGAGTCTGTAAACAACGTGAATGCTTCAGCTTCCAATTTGCTAGAAAAGTGTACACATCTTGGTGAGGCTCACAAAAGGGGAGTTTTATTAGCTGTTTACACAGCTGGTCTAGTCTCTCACTCCCCTGCATAATGCCAATGGTATGGCCGCAACTTGTTTGCGAAAGCCTAGCTTACCACTATCATCGGGCAGGTCCGTAAGGTGTTCAGGCTGCAGTATACCCATGCGCACGTCACTTTTCTCGCTGTTTGTGGCCCTGAGGAATCCGTGTGTGTAATCGGCACTGTCGTACTCCAGGGAACCCCAGCCTTTACTTGCTGGCGTTGGCCGTGGTGTAGTTCCCAAGAAATCAGGAGACGCGCACTGCCCGCGCTCACATCTACCCTCTTCGGCGGAAAATCTGTCTGTCACCTCTTCATCAGCCAGCCCGATCTCATCGTTGTGGCCACCAAATTGCGGCCAAAAAGGACTCGTCGTTACTCCAACGAATGCATCAGGTGCAGTAGTGCTCAATGCAGTTTCAGTCAATGAGCTAAGTCCGGATTCACCGGCTGCATCTGTGCGGCTTCGCCAAGATCTTCGAGCTGTTTGCTGATCTGCTTCAAATGGAATAGAGCTTGAAAGCTCTGTCCTACTTGTAACAGTATCATCGTTTGGTGGCGTAGTGGTAGAGCTTGTCCTTCGGCGTGGGACAGAAGCTTCATCAGATTGAGTTGTTGTGGGTCTCGTTCTCCTACTTGTAACAGAGTCATCGGATGAAGAAGCTGTAGTAGATCGTGACCTCCTGCTTGTGCCAGAATCATCATCTGGTGAAGGCGTACTAGCCCGTGTCCTTCTGCTTGTAACGGAGTCTTCGTCTGCTGCTGTTGTGGAAGGTCTTGTTCTTCTGCTTGCGACGGAGACTTCGTCTGGTGCGGTTGTGGAAGGTCTTGTTCTTCTGCTCGTGACAGAATCTTCATCGGATGAAGCTGTCGTGGGCCTTGTTCTCCTACTTGTAACAGAGTCATCAGCAGCTGAGGCTGTAGTTGATCTTGACCTCCTGCTCGTGCCAGAATCATCAGCTGGTGCAGGTGTACTGGCCCGTGTCCTTCTGCTTGTCACAGAATCTTCGTCTGCTGCTGTTGTGGAAGGTCTTATCCTTCTGCTTGTGACAGAATCTTCATCGGATGAAGACGTTGTGGGTCTCGTTCTCCTACTTGTAACAGAGTCATCAGCTGAGGCCGTAGTAGGTCGAGAGCTTCTGCTTGTGCTGGAGTCATCATCTGGTGCACGTGTACTGATCCGTGTCCTTCTGCTTATGATGGAGTCTTCGTCTGGTGCTGTTGTGGAAGGTCTTGTCCTTCTGCTTGTGACGGAATCTTCTTCTGCTGCTGTTGTGGAAGGTCTTGTCCTTCTGCTTGTGACGGAATCTTCGTCTGCTGCTGTTGTGGGAGGTCTGGTCCTTCTGCTCGTGACGGAATCTTCATCGGATGAAGCTGTCGTGGGTCGTGTTCTCCTACTTGTAACAGAGTCATCAGCAGTTGAGACTGTAGTGAATCGTGACCTCCTGGTTGTGCCAGAGTCATCATCTGGTGCAGGTGTACTGGCCCGTGTCCTTTTGCTTGTGGTAAAGTCTTCGTCTGCGGCTGTTGTGGAAGGTCTTGTCCTTCTGCTTGTAACGAAATCTTCATCAGGTGAAGTTGTTGTGGGTCTGGTCCTCCTACTTGTAACAGAGTCGTCAGCGGAGGACGTTGTAGGAGTTCGTGACCTCCTGGTTGTGCCAGAATCATCATCTGGTGCAGGTGTACTGGCCCGTGTCCTTCTGCTTGTCACAGAATCTTCGTCTGGTGCTGCTGTAGAAGGTCTTGTTCTTCTGCTCGTGACAGAGTCTGCATCGGATGAAGTTGTTGTGGGTCTCGTTCTCCTACTTGTAACGGAGTCATCAGCAGCTGAGGCTGTAGTAGATCTTGACCTCCTGCCTGTGCCAGAATCATCATCTGGTGAAGGTGTACTAGACCGTGTCCTCCTGCTTGTGACGGATTCTTCGTCTGCAGCTGTTGTGGAAGGTCTTGTCCTTCTGCTTGTGACGGAGTCTTCGTCTGATGCTTTGGTGGTGGGTCTTGTCCTTCTGCTTGTGACAGAATCTTCATCGGGCGAAGTTGTTGTGGGTCTCGTTCTCCTACTTGTGACAGAGTCATCGGCTGAAGAAGTTGTAGAGGATCGTGACCTCCTGCTTGTGCTAGAGTCACCATCTGGTGCAGGTGTACTAGACCGTGTCCTTCTGCTTGTGACGGAATCTTCGTCTGCTGCTGTTGTGGAAGGTCTTGTCCTTCTGCTTGTGACAGAATCTTCGTCAGGTGATGTTGTTGTGGGTCTTGTTCTCCTGCTTGTAACAGAGTCATCGGCTGAGGAAGTTGTAGTAGATCGTGACCTCCTGCTCGTGCTGGAGTCACCATCTGGTGCAGGTGTAGTAGACCGTGTCCTTCTGCTTGTGACGGAATCTTCGTCTGCTGCTGTTGTGGAAGGTCTTGTCCTTCTGCTTGTGACAGAATCTTCATCGGGTGAGGTTGTTGTGGGTCTTGTTCTCCTGCTTGTAACAGAGTCATCAGCTGAGGAAGTTGTAGTAGATCGTGAACTCCGGCTTGTGCTAGAGTCACTGTCTGGTGCAGGCGTAGTAGTGCGTGTCCTTCTGCTTGAGACGGAATCTTCATCGGCTGAAGTTGTTGTGGGTCTTGTTCTCCTACTTGTAACAGAGTCATCAGCAGCTGAGGTCGTAGTAGATCGTGATCTTCTGCTTGAGGTAGAGCTGTCATCCGCAGCTGTTGTGGTCGTTCTTGCCCCTCGGCTTGTTCTTGACCCATCACTAGACGATTCTGTGGTAGTGCGCTCCCTTCTGCTTGTTGAGTTTCCTGGTGAAGCCCTCGTAGGTCGTGCCCTGCTGCTGGTTGCATCATCACCGTCAGGCGGCGACGTTGTACTTCGTGTCCTGCTTGTGGCACTGCTCTGTTCCCGCGAACCCGAGGAAGACTGTGAGCGTCCTCTTGCCCCCGATTCTGCTCCTGCAGATCCGGAGCTGCGGCCTCGCTCCTTCGCTGTGTTAGAAGCACTGCTGGAGTCAGCATCAGACCGCCTCTCCCTATGCGCTGTAGATGAAGCATCCCCCGACTTAGGGGAAGGCTTTTCACCGCGCTTCGTGGTGGATCCTTTTGACTGAGTTGATGCCTTTGATGAAGTTGTAGTAGTGGTTGTTGTTGGCCGACGCTTTGGTCCCCCTGGTGGGCACGGCCTCCTCAGGTGAGCAACGGCGAGCTTGGGAGGCTTGCCCAGAACAGGAAGCCAGTCACGATTCTCTATCAATTTTCGTGGAAAGAGACCTACAGAGGAATTACAGCAACAGGTAAGTCTGCCATGCAGCGTTCGTGCCCATAGTTTCAAATGTGTCCACAAGTGGAGGAAACAGTGCAGTGGAAAATCCACAGACTTAAAACAGCATTCGAAGGCAAGCGACGATAAAGGCTTGCGACATTTTCCTTTTGGCGCCAACTACACACGAAAATCTTTTGCTTGTGTATGCAACGCCCAAAAACGCAGAGGCTAAGCCCTTAAGGATATATTCGCAGTGCTTTCGATGACGGGATGCAATTTGTTCAGAGCAAATGCAAGCAACTTACCGGGAAGAGCAAACCACTGGAAGATCCCTTGAATTATGTGCTCATTTCCAGGCTTTCCAAGAGCGTCAAAGACGCACTTCGGCACCGTCTGGCCGTTGGGAAACACCCAGCCGTTATCGCGGACCACAAAAATCGTCACTGGCCCAGCGCGCTCCATCTGCAGCCGCACTTGAGCAAAATTGCAGTGATATTGGGGGGTCATCGGGAACAATACAATTCAGAAAGAATATAACAGAACGAGCTAGGCCCATTGTCACAAATGGATGTGCCATCGAGTTTATACCCACACTAAGTTTAGTGCATTTGCAGTATCTCCCATCGCGTCAGCAAGCTTGACACGCCTTTAGCTACAGGTATAAAATAGGTTAGGTGCAAATACACCTGCGTAACAGCATACGCTGCGTCAAGCAGAAATGTGTGGAAGTGTCTAGGAGTATAAGCCGCGTGCAGTGCTGCTTAAGCCATACGTGCTATTGCGTGTACACGCGTTTGAGGCTAAAGGCAGCTTGCCTGATCACGTAGCTTGAGAGGAAGCTTTTGTAGGAAGTAGTTAAGCTTGACATATTCTGGTGTTTCCCGAAAGAAGTTGACAATGGTGGGACCAGGATTCCATCTGAAGGGCAGCATGTTGTCAATCTTGTAGATGAAACCACGTTTGGCTTTAACAACCTCGACGACTTTCGACTCAAAGCCGTTCACTACAACACGGAGTTGACGCATATCTCGAGTCCCGTTTACGATTACTTTGCCAGCTTTCGCGGGTCCCCCGCCATCTTTCTCTCTAGCAGGACCCCCTCCCCTACCCCCGCCGGGAGGAGACCTCCGAGTTGTCCGTTTCTTTGCTTCTGTTGAGCCACCACCTCCACCACCGGACCCCGTTGTCTGCCTGCCAGCTCTTGTGCTCCTCGACGATCTGTCAGGCGCAGGTCTCGTGCTTCTCTCCGCCGCAGTACCGCTATCGTCCTTGTCCTCCTCCTCATCTGTAGAGGACGCCCTGACTTTGGGGCTTCCTCTACCGCGGGATTGAGCTGTGCTGGAGCCACGACTCCTTTGTGCGCGGGCACTTGTGGTGCGCGTTGTCTCAGCACCCTCCTCTTCGTCTTCCTCCGAAGCACCATCCCCTTTTTTAGTGGTCGTGCGAGGTGGCCGCGGTGTTGTCAGCGTAGTGCCGCCCCTCGGAGCTCGCGATGATGAGCTGGATCTTTCAGCCTGCGATCCCCTTGGTGGGCGACTAGCTGTTGTACGTGCGCTGCCACGGCTCCCACGATCGTCATCTGCTTCATCCTCACTGTCAGCCTCGGCTGTGCTTCGAGAGCGGCTTGGCCGCGATGTTGTGAGTGTAGTGCCGCCCCTCGGAGCTCGCGATGAAGAGCTGGATCTTCCTCCCTGCGATCCCCTTGGTGTGCGACTTGCTGTTGTACGTGCGCTGCCACTCTCGTCTTCTGCCTCATCGTCACTTTCTGCTGTGCTTCTAGATCGGCTTGGCCGCGGTGTTGTGAGTGTGGTGCCGCTTCGTGGCGCTCGTGATGATGTGCTGGATCTTCCTCCCTGCGATCCTCTTGGTGAGCGACTAGCTGTTGTACGTGCGCTGCCACGCTCGTCTTCTGCTTCATCCTCACTGTCAGCCTCGGCTGTGCTTCTAGATCGGCTTGGCCGCGATGTTGTGAGTGTAGTGCTGCCCCTTGGGGCTCGCGATGGTGTGCTGGATCTTCCTCCCTGCGATCCTCTTGGTGAGCGACTAGCTGTTGTACGTGCACTGCCACGCTCGTCTTCTGCTTCATCCTCACTATCGCTTTCTGCTGTTCTAGATCGGCTTGGCCGCGATGTTGTGAGTGTAGTGCCGCCCCTGGGAGCTCGTGACGATGAGCTGGGTCTTCCTGCCTGAGATCCCCTTGGTGAGCGACTTGCTGTTGTACGTGCGCTGCCACTATCATCTTCGGCTTCATCCTCACTATCGCTTTCTGCTGTGCTTCTTGATCGGCTTGGCCGCGGTGTTGTCAATGTAGTGCCGCCCCTCGGAGCTCTCGACGATGTGCTGGATCTTTCAGCTTGCGATCCTCTTGGTGAGCGACTTGCTGTTGTACGTGCGCCGCCACGGCTCCCACTGTCGTCATCTGCTTCATCCTCACTATCGTTTTCTGTTGTGCTTCTAGATCGGCTTGGCCGCGATGTTGTGAGTGTAGTGCCGCCCCGTGCTGGTCTCGTAGATGAACTTGAAATTCCTCCTTGCGAGCCCCTTGGTGAGCGACTTGCTGTTGTACGTGCGCTGCCATTGTTCCCAGGGTCGTCTTCCGCTTCATCCTCACTGTCACTTTCTGCTGTACTTCTAGATCGGCTTGGCCGCGGTGTTGTCAGTGTTGTGCCGCCTCTTGGGGTTCGTGTAGATGAGCTGGGACTTTCAGCTTGCGATCCCCTTGGTGTGCGGCTTGCTGTTGTACGCGCGCTGCCACTGCTTCCACGGTCATCTTCTGCTTCATCCTCACTGTCAGCCTCAGCTGTGCTTCTAGATCGGCTTGGCCGCGATGTTGTCAGTGTAGTGCTGCTCCGTGGTGCTCTCGTAGATGAGCCTGAAATTCCTCCTTGCGAAGCCCTGGGTGTGCGACTAGCCGTCGTACGTGCGCTGCCACTGTCCCCACGGTCACCTTCTGCGCCATCCTCACTATTGGTTTCTTGCCGTTTGGAAGTGTGTCCGGGTCTCGAGAGGGAATCTGCTGTGGTTTCGGTTGGTGCTGGTGTTGAAAATTGTAGCACTGCTGAACGCGGCGACCATGGCGAGACGCCTGATACTGGCGCTTCAGTGGAGCTGCGGCCCCTGCCTGTCATTTCGCCGCTTCTTCCCTGTGCATTCATGAAACTGGACCGCTGCACATCTGCACGATGCGACTCTGTCCCGGTGGGTGCAGGCTCTGTACCTCTTGAACGCCTTTGAGAATCCAAAGGCATGCCAGACCGCGTAGTACTGTCATTCGTGGGCTGGTGAATGCTTGTGGAGTGATCACCAGTGGCAGTAGTTGGAGTTGTGGCCGGCCCTTCCCTGCGTGAGGTTCGTGGGCTGTGCACTCTGGTGGTAATGCTTTTACTTGTTGGGTCGCGAGTGCTGGTTAGTGTGATGGAAGTGCTTCCTGTTTGAGCCTGGGTCTTCTGGTTATCAGGCTCTGCAGAGCGCGGCACAGTAGTAGTGAAGTCCAAAATGCCCGATGCAGCACTGGAAGAAAAGCCTCTGCTCCGACTGGAGGAAGAAGTGTGCGCAATTGTTGTGGCTTTCCTTGTCGTGATTGCTTCAGATAGCGTACTGCGGACCTGACGCCCCACTTGTTCCGTGCTGCTAAATACTTCAGCAGCAGTTGGTCTGACGCTGCTAGAACTCCGTGAGGTGTTTTGTGCATAAGCGGGAGAGGTGGTTGACGTGCTGGTACCGTTTTCTACTGCCCCCAGATATCGAGGTAATAGGCCACCTCGGATCTGAGCCTCGGTCTCTTCATTTTCATTTGGGTCAATTGTCACATCTTGTCCAGTAGCCTCCGTGCGGCTTCCCTCTGGTCTTCCAAACCGTCCACTTGGCTGCCCATCCTGTCGTGAACCCCTCTGAGGCGGCTTTCGCTCACTCTCAGCGGAGTAGCCTCTGCTGCCAGTGGCTCTGTCATCATCTCCTGCGGGCTCTTCAGAAGTATAAGAACCACCTCTGACCCTTCTGCGGGGTCCATCCCTAGATGAAGAGGCATTTTCTCTAACAGCAGATGTGCTACTGCGTCTGAAGGGGGGAAGCGTTCTGAATTCGGAACTATCTGACTGGAAAGTATCCTCCAGAAAATCCTTGTCCTCATCTTCATCTTCGTCTTCATCTTCACCACTAAACTCATCTTCAGTTTCGTCTTCATAAATAAACTCTTCGCCGCTATCATTGCCATCGTCAGCACTTGTCGTAAGTGCTGCACGTCGGCGACGGCTTTGGGATGTTTCTGAGGCAGTATCCTCGTGTTGTGTTTGCCCCCTTTGCGCCCGTCCACGTGCATCAGAGACATCCTGAGTCGTTGATCTAGGAGTGCGAGCTCGCGATGACTGAGGGCGTCGGGTCGTGGTAGCCGTGGTACGGCTTACCGTTGACGATCTGCGGGCTCTCCCTGAGTCTGCATCCCTCCTTATATCCTCTTCGGGATCCTCTCTGTCATTGTCTTCTTCATCTCCGCTTTCATCAAAGTCTTCTTCTTCTGTGTCTACGTGCGGCTCGGGGTCTGACTCTATTTTCTTCCTGTCGTTTTGCCTTCTTCTCCTTGGTGCGGCTGCAGCGCTGCCTTCTTCTCGTTCTTCTTCATCGGCGTCATCTTCATCGTCCTGTTCTTCCTCCTCATCCCTGTCATTATCCTCGTCTTCCTCTCCTTCACTATTCTCATCCACATCTTCATCGTCTTCCTCTCCTTCATGCTCTTCTTCACTGCCTTCCGCATCATCATCTTCCTCTTCTCCAGCACTTTCGTCAGCGTTATCAGGATCACCTTCTTCAACTTTACGGGAACGAGAAGAGCGGCTAGGCGGCCTTTGGGGGCGCGCGATGCGCCGCGGCTCCTCTCTCTCTTCTTCTGCATCATCATCATCATCGTCTGAACGCGAACGGTTGCGCGCGAAGCGCCGCGGCTTCTCTCTTTCTTCTTCTGCATCATCATCATCATCATCATCATCATCATCATCATCATCATCATCACCATCATCATCATCATCATTATCATCATCATCATCATCATCATCATCATCATCATCATCATCATCATCATCATCTGAACGCGAACGGTTGCTCCGAACGCTTTTTTGCTGGCGTGCTGAACGTCGAGCTTTATTCCTGTCTTGTGATGTCTTATCATCATCGCCATCGCCATCGCCATCGCCATCGTCATCATCGCTAACGTCGTCGTCATTATCGCCAAGGCCATCGTTATCATCTTTTTTTTCTTCATGACGAGAACGGCTGTTTCGAGCCCGCTGCCCCTGTGAGCCCCCGAAACGCCGCTGTTCGTTTCTCTCCTCCAAATTCCTATCGTCCTCCTTGCCATCATCGTCATCATCATCACTATCATCGTTCTTATCATCAGAACGGGGACGGTTACTACGCCCTTGTTGACTTCTCGATCCGGTGGAGCGCCGTGGCTCCTCTTTGTCCTCAGACGCGGTGTCATCGTCATCATCATCATCTTGATCATCATCCTTATAGTCTGGGCGAGAACGGCTACGTTGACTTTGCTGAGTGCGCGCACGAGTGGAACGCTGTGTCTCCTTTTTCTTCGCGGATGCATCATTGTCTTCATCTTCGTCATCACTCACGGAGTCCGAACGGGGGCGGCTGCTTCGACGCTGCTGGCCTTGTGAACGCTCTGAACGCCGCGCCTCCTCTCGTCTTCTTGGTGCGCGGTCTTCATCATCGTCCTCATCGTCATCGCTGACTTCTTCTGTCATCCGCGCTCGCTGAGAACTATTTCGTGTTTGCCTTCGGTTGCTCCTTTCGTCTTTGCGAGCTTGTGGCTCGTCGCTGTCAGACGCATCATCTTCGGCGTCATCTTCATCGTCTTCATCTCGAGGACGTCTTGCCTGCCGTTTTCCTTTTTGTCCACTGTTGTCCTCTTTCTTTTCTTTCTTCTCGTCATTTTCGTCTTCCTCTCCGTCCGCGGCATCATCATCAAAGTCTTCTTCGGAATCATCTTCTTTCTTCCGCTCTGGGCGTCTACGCCTTTCCTCTGAATTGCGACGGTTCGTCTGGTTCCTTTCATCAGTGTTTTTTTTAGATTCTTCTTCTTCTTCTTCTGCTTCTTCGTCACCTTCACTGTCTTCCCTTTTACCTTCGTCGGAGACTTCTCGGGCTTGCCGCCGCGGGCTTCTAGGGGACCTCGCACCAGACGCTGCTGCTTGATTCCCCCTTCCTGTGGCCCGTTCATCGCTTGACTTTTTGTCATCCCCGTCTGAGCCAGGTTTGGCTTCTTGTCCTTCTTTTTTAGCGGTGTCTGCTTCGCCTCCAGCAGACCGAGATGCACCGCGAGGTTTGGGTCGGCTCCGTTGCGGGCTGCTTCCTGACTCTTCTTTCTTGTCTTCTGTTTTTGCATCTTGTTCCTTCTTGTCATCCTCTTTCGGCTTAGGGTCAGGAGGACCAGCGCGATAAATTTTCAGCTCCTGATTACTGCGTGTCTGGAATACAGATTCCTCCGTTGTAATCTCACGAGGATCGATCAGTTTCGGCGCCACGAGGTGTGTCATCACAATCATCTCTTCCACCCACGCTTTCCGAGGCATCCAAGTCTACCAACACAAAACCCATGCACAAAAACACAACATGCAGCTCAGAAAGCATCTACTTCCTGGTTTTCGATCTATCTGTCTGGAGAAGCTGCAAGCACTGATCAAGCATCTAAGTGTGAGCAGCCATCACCATCTCAGCAAGTTCGTCCATTTTGACGGCCAACTGCGACAGCACGTCATCCGTTGGAGCAAATAAAGTGATCGCTAATCGGGTGATGAGTGAATCTCCCTGAGTGAGGGGGTTTGACTCAAGAGCCTTGCTGAGGATTGAGAGGTCGGGTTCGTTCTTTAGTGCTTCTAAGGGGCTCTCCTCTACTTCCTTCCAGCCTTGAAGAGGAGGAAGTGTGGTGGTTGACGTGGTAGTCTTTGTCGTCGTCTTCGTCGTCGTTTCCGTCGTTGTCTTCGTCGTTGTCTTCGTCGTTGTCTTCGTCGTTGTCGTCGTCGCTCTTCCTGTTGTCCGCGTAGTAGGCCGGCCTCTGCTGCGTGTCGTTGTTTGCCCTTCTGCTGTCGTTGTTTGCCCTTCTGCTGTTGTTGCCTGCCCCTCTGCTGTTGTTGTCTGCCCCTCTGCTGTTGTTGCCTGTCCCTCTGCTGTTGTTGTCTGTCCCTCTGCAGTCGTTGTAGTTCTGGTAGCGGAAGCTCCGCGTGGGCGGCGTGAGGGTCGCTCTTGAAGTGCGCGAGTTGCGAAGAAAAGAAACTCTTCCTCGAGTTCCTCTTTCTCTTCTGTAGGCCAAATGGTCCCTAGGGGCAGCTTTTGCTTCGATGAGCCCCCTGGTGCACGTAAGGCGGCCTTACGTAAAGTAAATGAATCCTGCTTTCCCCCATTTGGAGCGTCCTCAGACTGATTTTGAGGGGGTGCACTCTCACTAGCTCTATGCTCATTCTCTTTCTCAGTGTTGTTCATCCCAAAACCCGTAAAGGGCTCGAAGACCCCTCTGAGAAATGTATGAGGCTGGGGAGCCCCAGAAACTTCAGCCAAAAGTCCGGACACGTACACATTTTCTTTGAAAAGGCAAAAAAGCAAGAGGGCAGCGCAGCCGAAACAAATAAAACCATACAAGTGACCCAGGTGACGGCGCCTCCCTCGGGCTCTCCAACCTGTAGCCCTCATGGAAAGTATCCTCCATGAAAACGTATATCTTAATAAATTTTTTCTACCGGGATATTTCAAATATTGGATCGCTGGGCCGCCACGGCTCGATGACGGCCTTCCTTCTCATCCCGGTTGCTGCAAAACAAGCTTAAACAGCCAAGACTGTTGCCGCTGCCGCGGCCACAGGTGTATCAAGGGAAATGCCTTCAAATAAAAGTCGCATTACATTTACGAGCCTTTCCTATGGCTGACTGCAAAAACGGAGACACATGACGGCTGACTTGAGTGAAGAGACGCCCTGGGAGCAGCCGTGGCGCCATGTGTCACCGGCCCTCTCAATGGTCCAAAAAAACAATACTTGAAAACAAATATACTAGGATTAAGCTATTTCAATTGAAAATTACTTAAGGAAAGGCACTTTCGAATGAAAGAAGATTGCATTGCCAGCAAAGGAAAGCCCGAGCACGTTATTTTCGAACACAGTGGGGCCGCCGTACTGTCTTCGTCAGCCTCGTGACCCTTCTAAATGACAATAGGCATTATTTTTCGTGCTCGACAGGAAACACACGCAAAAATTGAACTTTTAAGCGGCGTGACTCCTAGCGAGTCTCCTCACGAACCCCAAAAAAGGGCAGTTTCTGCAGCCGAGCAATCGGAGGGAGCATTGGACAGCATCTTACGTGGGAGTTACAAAAAACCCACTGCACATGGTGGCCATTTTGAGCCATTCATGAATTTATATTCATCTACATTTGGCAATTCCGCTTGTTCTTCAACAGGTCACTCGTTCTGCTAACTTAGGCCGACATAACACACAGCGCCTCGCTGTCCCACTGCTTTTCTCGCCTTTTCCCCATCTGTTTCTGTAAATTTGAAATGAAAATTCAAAAGGAAGTAGTGGTCCTCTCATCCTGAGCTCGAATAAGTATTTTTTCCTGCAGCGGTTCGCCTGCAGAACTTAATGAAAGCAACGCGGCAGGCGTGCGCGTACGTGACCCACAGATGACTCTAATACTTCCCTGAATTTGAGTTTCAGATTCACAGAAAGCCATATCTATCGAACAAATCAAGCGTAGATGGCAAAGGGGGCAGTGGCACCGAATATCGAGGGTCCATTGGCATGAGAACCCCGATGCAGTCTGTGGTGAACAAGAAATATTGCTGAAGAGCAGTGAGGAAGCTCTCTTTGGAACGTGTAGAGAAGCAAAGCCTCACCTAAATAGCACTCGCCTCTACGCATCTCAGTTGTACAAACTGTGACGCATTGCTTTCCCTATTCTCCTCTACAGGTTTTCTGCAACTGTAACGCCCCCCAAGCGATTGTGTGTGGGACTGCCATGGGCCCTTAAGAAGTGGTCTAGGATGACAAGGAGAGCTGTTGAGGGTTCAGCTAATTTTACAGTGACTGCAAGGCGCGCCATGCAATAAGGCCACTTGTGTATTCACATATATTCATCACTGCGAGGCAGCTAAGCAATAAGTCGCTCGGAAACTGCCCAGTACAGTGGCACGCGCAGTCTGTGCTCCATGGTAACCAACGGGAAAGTAGCAAGTTGTTAATGATCTTAAAGATATGAGTTTACGTCTTTGCAGTGAACAGAAAATCGTGTCGTTCATAATTGTTTTGCCACAGCTAGCAGCTCCTCTTCGGTGGGGACAACTAATATATGTTTCATTAGCAACAAATACGCAACGTGGTAGTCGCTGCGTCCACCAGCCAGGTCAATTGAATCCCACGGAACCTCTGAGACCTTATCGTCGTCAAACTTCCGCCACATGTCGACATTTTTCCTGCGCTTCGCTGCAGGGCCTGATGACGCTGCGGGTTCTTCCTCCTCCTTGTCTTCAGGTTGTGCACTGGGCGGGCCCTGCAAAGTGCCTGCGTCGCCTGCTCTCGCCCACCCCACGTAGTGTCCACTGTCTGCGTACCGGCCTTGGTGGGTGACAACGCTCAGCAACTGGTATGTGCCCGTTGGGCACGGCTTTCCTGCAAGACGGAGAAGTTCGGCTTCTTTCTTTGTTGCCTCTGCTTCGGTGGCCTCTGCAGCAGGTGCTGCCGAGTGTGCAGCTCCGCTGCCGTTCGTCGCAGCAGGTGCAGCTGCAGCCTCAGGTGCTGCAGTTGCGGCAGCAGCAGCAGCTGCGCCATCAGCCGCAGGCGCACCAGACTCAGCAGGCGCGGTCCCATTAGTGGCCTTTTCTGCGCCTCCTGAAGATGCCTCGCGTTCTCGCCGTAGAGCCACAATCGCCCGGCCTACTTTGAAGGAATCCTGCAATTCCTGTTGCACAGGACCAGCACGCAAGAATTCAAATTTGGCCATGATGATCTCCACTCGCTTGCTTTTAAGTAAGATATGAAATGAGGTCCGATGGGAGGCTCGAGTAAAAAGCCGTAAACGTGAAAAGAAGCAGAATGAAACATGGAGGTGCAGGCGTTGAGTGCCCGTTTCCTACTTCACAGGTCGAGAACACATGGCTTTACCTTTAGCCAAGTGGCAACCACACGAATTCTCAGATTTCACATTGCAGCATATTGGGATGTGCCATTTAGCAACGCGGTAACACTTGGGCGCTTGAAGCTGCCGTACTTAGTACAGAAACTGCCACTGCGCGCCCCCATAGGTAACTGCACACTATATGTCTGGCCCAAAACCGCAACTGTCAAGCTGAAACACGAGCAAATGCATTTATAACCCATAGGCCGTGAGCTATGAGGGAATTGCGTAGGAGCCTTATGGATATTAGTCTGTCACTGCACTGTCGAACCTATCACCATTGTTACCTTGGTGCAGTAAGTAAACATGTCAAGTGTCTGTGAGAATTTGACGCTTCGGCAGATCTTGGCCTTCTCGGATTCGCTGCCGCCCATTTTCCACTCGAAGCGCATGAAGTGCACGATTAAGTACAGAGCAAGGCTGCTGACTCTGTTGCTGCGGATGAGGGTGTCTTCCCCTGTTCCTGCCGCGCCCGCACTGTTGCTGCCCACATTCACGACTTCGTCGCCAAGCGAGAACTTCAAGCTCTCCTCGATGGTGCTCACTGGCTTCTGGGGGGTGCCCAAGAAGCAAGTGAGCTTGCGGTGCCGTTCGACTTGCACTGTGGGTTTCGGCTCCGCCTCGCCTTCCTTCTTGGTGCGGCTTGAAGTGACCTCGACTTGCACTTCGAAAAGCAAGTCAAGGGGCGACGAGCCAGCCTTCAGGGGCAAGTACGGTAAAGACTTTGACAAGCCTGCGGCCGCTCCTGAGTCCAGACTCTCCGCCACCGCTGTCATCAAACAGCTGAGGCATTCCTCAGCGTCTTGCTGCATGGGGACTCCAGTTGTGCCTGCGCACGCCCGACAGCCACACTCCACTTAAAGCCACTGCCTTATGCTAAATATGAATTCTGTAGCTACTCAAGGACGCTTCCTCGGCCAGCAGCCCCGCCCCCCACTAAGCAAAAACGGGAGTTAAACAGCTTCTGAAACACTTCACTTAATTACACTTGGTTACTTTAGAAGTCACTGCATCTGCGTCCAACAAGATAGATCTTAGCTCATGGAGTGCCACTAGCTGCGCGCACCTGCTTGCGAAGTTGAGCGTCGAGAGAACTGTGGGTAAGCCTCTCGCAGTGCTGGCACCTAAGGACTCCACAAATGCCAGCCTAGGTGCACATATGTGTCATTCAGAAGCCGTCCAGCGCAGACAAAGTCGAAAACGAAATAAATGCGAAGAAAAAACAGAAATTTCGTCGTTTTGAAGGTTAGTTTTACCAGAAGAAAAGGGGAAACAGCCTCGACTGTTTGGTCCCACTGGTTGTAGAAGTCCTTGAGAGCCAACGAAAGCCGACGAAGAGCTCCCTGCTGGCCTGTCGATGCAAACTGGGCAGTTGTTGCGCCCCCCGAAATGTAATTTTTCAGAAGATCAGAAAAGTCCTTGGCGGGACGCAGCATCTGCAAAACTGAAGCCAGGTAGCAGGTGTTCCCCAGATTAACTATGCCCTGAAGCAGCCGCGTTGCACAACAAAGTTGCAAGAATTCGCGTTTCAATTCAAAAAAGATCTGCAAGAATTCACGTTTTAATTGAAAAAAGATCCTTTTCGAGCTTCTTTCCGTTATTTGTACCGTCGAAACCCTCGTCAGAAGAAAAGTATGCAAGTCTTTCACGTCTTCACTTGGAATTAAATCAAATTGGAAGCATCTTTTCGGTGTAAAGACAAAGTAAAGGTGCCTAAACTGTCTGCTGCCTGGCTTACGTTCGGCAAGGGCTCTACTTTCTTTTCCTTCAGCAGCGCCGCCTGCTGCGCCGGCGTAAGGTCTTCAACAAAAACTGTTTTTTCTGGCGGCGGCTTCACGGCCATCTTCTCTTCGGCTGTGCCCATTAGCATTATCTTGGGACAGCCAGAAGACACTAAAGCCTGGAGATCCGCATCAGCCTTTATGGTCTTGCCTTTGCACAAGAGCTTCTGGCGTTCTACGGGAACCCCAGTAAGAGTGCTGCAGCAGCAGCGCCCCAAAGATGCAGCAGCAAACCACCACGCACGGGCCATCAACACAAGTGTCCTGGCTCTCTATGAACCTGCTACGCTGGGACCTGAACTCTCGTCGGCCTCCACTGACTTGAGTTGAAATCAAGAAATCTGCGAATACCTCCACCATTACTCGGCCACGGACTTCATTACCATTAGCAACATGGACCCAATCGCGAGGTACAGCAGCCCGCACACTTATTTCAAGGTTTGGTCTGCTGCTTCAAGAGGAGCAGGCAATGGCGCTACTGCAGCACTACACCTTTCTGCATGATGCTTAGGGGGTTGTGGTGGCCTTACTAGAGTTGAGCTTGGAAGACTTCCAGCGGCTCATTTGGGTCTACTTGAACGTTGAAGGACTTAGCACCCCACTTAACTGCTGCCTGCACCTCTGGGGCCTTCATTTTCTGGGGGGGAAACGAATGCAATATGCGCCTAGGGGAAGCCGAGGGAGGGAAAAGGGGCCTCCCGATCCGCACTGTCTTAGTAAATCCCTGTATAAAGGTCAAAGAATCATGAAAAAAAGATGTTAAGTGTAAAAAAACCGAGAAAATGGGTGCAAACCTACTGCCGCCTCCATCCAATGGCATGCGGTAGCCTGAAATAGCGGATGCTGCGAGGAGCCATGGGGTTTCCTTAATGATACCTGTGCGTTAAACAGTCTACTGAATTTACAGTACTTTGTTCGAAATAAGCACAAATTATTTTGTTTCTGCTTACATCCTCTCGCCTTGCAACTCGGAGGAATGCCTTAACAAAGTGCTCCGCCAACGGCCATTGGTCGTATGTAAATAGTTTGCCTCTACCATGTAATAGCCCCCGATCCGTTCATCACAGCGAATTTATTTTTCCTCCAGCTACTCAAACCATCTTTGCAATGAAAGGACCGAATTGATTTGTTGCGTGCTGCCCAGGCCCGACACTTGTGGCACTCGCATGTAGGCGTAATCAATGCACAAACCGAATCTGCGCATCTTTTGCTCGGCATGAACGACAGGATACCATAGAAAGAAGGATTATATCTTGAAGTCTTAAAGTCCAGGCTGGATTTTGCACCATTTGCTTGGGTATCTCCGTCGTTTCTGCCGCTATCGCTCACACCCTAGTGCATAGTTCATAGTGTTGGGCACGTACACCTTGACGCCTATGGCTTGCTGGTTGCAAATGCACTATTTCAAGCTTTTAAGACCTATTATTTGTGCTGGACTGCGCCTAGTGTTGCTGGTTATCGTTTTCTGTGTAAACTGCACTGAACAGCGCAAGCGACAGCCTCTCAGTCCTCACTGCCGAGCCCTCAGTAGCCAGAGGGCGTTTTTTTGTGCGAAGGCTCCCACGGAGCATCGATTAGCAAAGACTAATTGCTGAGTTACGAGTAACATTGTGCAGCATATCTATGAAACGCGCCGCATAGACAGTGGACGAGTAGATATAGATGCAAGCTGACTGTTTCAAAATTGCTGTCTGAGCTCATGAATACGCCGAGAACATGAAGTGAATACCAGTAGAGATACCATAGATGCAAGTTGACTCCTTCAAAATTGTTGTCTTAGCTTACGAGAATGCCCATAACTTGAACTGAAGACCAGCTGCGAGTGCCAGAGCCTACACAGTTCCTAAGGAAGGCAGGATGCAATTCCTGCTTGTTGACCCAACGCGTAAACGGGATTATGGAGGTGCTTCTGCGAAGTGGGAGGGCTCACTGGAGGATTTGTACTGACATTTTACAGTTGACGTGGGCTAGAAAGGCTGCAACTACCGTAGTTGCACAAGCAAGTTCGCTAATAAAGGCGAAAATGAAGATGCACGTTGAAAAAAGTGATGGCAAGCATAGGCGACTGAACGCATATCATTGTGTTGCCCAACTGTGTTGGTGCGTACTTCATAAAAGTATAATAGGCACATGAAATAGTTTCCTGAAACGCGAACGCCCTCTCAGCGCATTATGCTGATCTGTGCCTGTCTCAGACAAAAGTCCATGCTCAATGATGGGCTGAACATCAATTTTTTTGGGAGACATCGACTGTGCTTGGAACTAAGCTCGAGCTTATCAACTGCAACAGCAGTACTGGAAAGCCATTCAACCTTAATATGTGAAGCTGTTACTTAGGAATGGCTCCATACGCCGTTTATACTACAGTGTTCATGCACGTTTCCCTCAGGCAGATCCGCTCGTGTTGAAGTAGCCTCTGCACAATTCTCTGGTAGAGCCAAGTTAGAGTTGCGTTGAGCGGTCTTCTTTAAGAATTGGAATTCAAGCACTTTTGGAAGCGAAAAGATTCTGCTGTGTAGCGTTTTTCACCGTAGGTTAACCCATCTAAGCAGTAGGCAGCAACCTGTAGGATCCCTCATATGGTTTAGCCAATGACTCGGGAACCTTTAAATCAGCCTTAAGGCAACTTCTGATATGCTGTGTCTTTGAAATCAGACATATTAAATATCCAAAGCTCAAAATTTGGGTGAGCTCCTTGTTGTTTTTATGTGTGTGGATAGAAGAGCCTGGAAAGCTGCGAGCACTGCAAAAAATTCTCGAGTGTCCTAGGGTGCAAATAAGCAGATAGAAGTCCCACCAATTCAAAGTTAATAAGAAAGAGTCAAAATTGTACCTCATGGGGCACCCTTTTTGCTATATTTCAGTGGCGCTCGGAGCAGGTGACCATGTGGACCGCCCAACCCCCGCGTGCTGCTCCGTGGTCACCTGTAGGGTTTCTACGCTTTACTTCGCAAGACGCGAATTAAAGTACAATTTAAAGAAAACAAACTAATTAAAAAGATATATTAAAACATCAGGTTGCAGTAGGTCGTCCAGAAAGCTCGCTGAGGGCCACTGGCGCGGCGCGCGCCTATCTTGCAGACCTCTCGCCAGCCACGTTCAGCAAGTGCCTTCGGCGCACGCGCTGAGCACTGCCCTGTGCAGCACAAATCAATGTTTAGCATTTATTAAGCGGAAGCATTCTTACTCGAGTAGTTACGCGACCAGAGCTGGACCCCACTATGACTCGTCTCGCCGCCTGCGCTGCACTCGCCGCCGTGGCTCTCGCCGGCGGGCAGTCCATGGCCATGCCCACCGCCACCCCCATGGAAGTGCCCATGGAGCAGTACGGCGAGGCGAAGACTTACCAGGACCCTGGCGTTCCCACGAGCACCTCGACGGCTGCGCCGGAGAGCCCGCAGCAATGGTTCGAGGGCTTCAGCCGCGCCGTGCAGAAGCAGCTGCAGCTGCAGGAGGACTTGATGCGGCAGCTGGTGCGGGACATCCAGGAGTACCTGACGGAGGCCTTTGGCTGGAACGAAACGAACTCCTCGGCCCTGGCGCGGGTGAACACCATGCTGGACATGATCACGAAGCGCATGGCCGTGACTCGGGAAGAGGCGAACGAGATCAGCACCACGGAAACGGAGCCGCAGGCCGTGCGCGACGCCACGCGCAACTTCATGAAGGAAGTGCGCGTGCAAGACATCGTCGTGGACGCGCTGTGGGCCTCTCTGCGCGGCGTCCAGACCAGCGCCTGGATGACTGGCGTGTCGAGCACTGTTGACGAGCGGGACGTGCTGGCCGTGGCCAACAGAGCCGCTGAGGAGTTCCTGGCCCGCATGTACCACAACTTGCGTGCAGCGGGAGTGGCTGAGGAGGACATAGTGAAGTACGTGCCGCGGACTCCGGCGGATCCGAGCAGCAGCGAGCCCCGCAACATGGGCAAGAAGGGCCGCGGCTACGGCTACAGCTACGGCCACGGCTGCGGCTACGGCCACGGCTGCGGCTACAGCTACCCCCTCTACAGCTACGGCTGCCCCTACTCCGGCTGCGGCTACGGCTCCCCCTTCTACGGCTCCGCCTGGGGCTTCTGGGGCCCCCCCAGCCACTCCAGCTTCTACTGGCGCCGCCTGGGCACTGCGGGCTGCCCCGACTGCGCCCCCGAGCCTGAGTTCGTAACTCCCCCCACGGCTTTCCGGGGCCTCCAGGAGGAGGCCATGATGGGAACTCCCTATGCAAACCCCATGGTGGGAACTCCCTACGCCAACCCCATGATGGCCTCCCCCTACTCCACCCCCATGATGGGAACTTCTAACACCAACCCCACCATGGGCACTCCCTACACCAACTCCGCCATGGGCACTCCCTACACCAACTCCACCATGGGCACTCCCTACATGGGCACTCCCTACACCAACCCCGCCATGGGGGCCCCCTACACCACCTCCACCATGGGAACTCCCTACACCAACCCCACCATGGGGGCCCCCTACAGCAACCCCACCATGGGGGGCCCCTACACCAACCCCACCATGGGGGGCCCCTACACCACCCCCATGGCTGGCCAGGCCTACCCCGCCTACCCAGCAGCTGGCCAGCGCAGCACCATGGGCCCCACGCAGGGGCCCATGGGGCGCATGGGCACTTCGGGCGGCCAGTACAACAGCGCCGCGGGCTACACTGGCGGTTACCGCGGCCTGAGTGCCTTCGAGGCCCCCGAGCTCTTCGAGCCCCCCATGGGCATTCCTCCTTTTGGATTTGAGTGAGACAAAAGCACTCTTTAGCTCTATTATCCTCTTGCTTCCTTTCTTTTCTTGCTGGCTTCGAGCTGCCACAGAGAGCTGCTGCATGTCTTGCCTTCTTGCTTCTGTTTGCGCAGGATGCCCTTCTAAGTGGCGGCAGCACCAAGGGATATTAGTGCATTTTAAGGCTCCGTCGTTCACTTAATTCATTCAATTCGTTCAACGAATTGAAGGGCTTGCTTCGCTCAGCAGCGCCCCTTCAGGCAGCGTGCAAGTTGCCTCCCTGGTGGCCATTAGAAGAATACTCGCGAAGTCCGCGACTTTTAACTTTTTGTAAATTCTTTATTCTTATTTTACTTCCTGTTCATATTTGATAAGCTCGGACTCCGCAAATGTTTGAAAGGTTTGGAACAAGAAGTGCAGACTCGTGCCACACAACAGAATTCACATCTGAGCTCGAAGCCCGCTAGACTTCCTGCTGCGCAGCAGCAGCAGTTTCAGGATCTAGAACAGGACTTTTTAGAAGTTTGCCAGTCACCAAGATTAGCTATTGCAAAGCTTACAGCAGCAGTGTTGGCAAAACATTTGCTTTCCAAACTCCCGCTTTTGATCTGCAGTTGTTTCCTGCGGAGTTCAACTTACCTCTGAAGTGTATGCGCATGCATGCGCATGTGCGCACTGCGCAGATAAACTTTATTTTCAAGTCTTGCTCTTAGACTGATGCCATTAAGTGGAGCTTCTTCGCAAATGCTGCTTTTATAAGAGCTGCCGGCTTATTTAGCCGAGTTTGGCAGCCTCCAGCTTCCAGAACTAGAAAACCAGAAATGCTTTCAAGTCCGCAATGTGTGCAGATTTGTATGAACGTATGTGCACAGACCTGGACGCATTCATGTGTCTTTTTGCCCAGAGTGCCAATGCAGGCTGGGATAAATGATTGTTTGGGAATAATGCTCGCCGATCTGTCCACCTTCTGGACAAATGGCTCTGCAGATGCCAAACAATAGTCATGACAGGCCCAGAAGAACAACACAAAAAGCTCAGAAAGAATGATCAGTGGAATAACTGTCCGCACACGCAGTTACAACTGCGGGCGTAGACCTGTTTGAAGGGTTTACAGGTGGCCGGGGCCCCCCGCTACCACAACTTCTTGAGAAAGTCGCCAGATGAAGGCAAGAACGGAAGATGTAGTCAATTTGACAAACGGCAAAGTGTGATTTGCATGAAAATTTTCATCCACTTGCACGTTGCATTGCAGGCTGGAACATGTGCGTGGGTGTGAAACTCCAGAAAAATAGAGAATTCACTCTCTAGGTGAGCTAGTGTGGCGGCAAGAATGCATAGAACAACCCAGGACCTGAGGAAATGGATGTAGGGCACTTTACCTCAGCTTTCTGTATCCTTTTTGCAGGTTAGCCAAGAGTCCTGCGCTAGTTTGTAGCTCTTTGTGTGTTTTCGGACCCTCAGGTAGCAGACTTAGTTCCGCTTTTTCAAGCACAAACAACTGATAGGCGTTATACACAAGTGTATGAATTCATAAAGGGATAGTGGGCACAGATTTTATTTAAATTGGATGTTGAACAAAAGATAACTTCGCACACACAGGCTAGGTCCCCTACGACCGGGCAGGGCTGCTCAGGGTAAGCTGCACAATCATGAAGACCACGCCCGGCCGCACTTTTCTTGAAATAATGTCAAAAAGGTCCTAAATTGCTTTTAAAAGACAAATTCCTGCATTTTATTTGGACTTGTATCTTCCAATTGGGGAGAATCCCCCACCCCCGACACCCCGCCGAAGGCGCACACTGCCTGGCAGGAAACTCCGGAGTCCGTGCAGGCCCCGCTGCGGAGAAAAGCGGAAAGGTTGGATTTTGAGGAGTAAATATGCAAATTAAGAATGAATTTTGAATTATTTCGTTGTTTGGGGCCTGCGTGAGGCCGGCGTGCGGGCGAGACGAGACGGCGGGGGCGCGAGGAGGGCTGCTGGCGCTCGCGGTGACCTATCTTCGTGGGGGCTGAGTGTACATCCCCCCGAGCAGGTGTTGTTTGGCGAGTGGAGCGGGTGCTCGGGGGCCTCTGAGGTGGCGGCAGAAGAAAAGGAGTAACTCGAGTTGGGAAGACCGTGAGAGGAGTTGAAGAAGCGAAAGACTCGCACACTGCGCGCCCGAGAACTCGCCAATGACTCGCCTCAGCCTCTGCGCCCTGGCCGTGGCTCTCGCCGTGGGCCAGTCCATGGCAGTGCCCACCACTGTGGAGAACACAGTGCACCCGTACGCGGAGATGGGAACTTACCAGGAAGGGGAGGCCCCGGGGGCCCCCGACGAGAGCAGCACCACGACAACGACCCCCTCGCCGAGCCCCGAGGCCCCTGACCAGTGGCTGGAGAACTTCGTGCGGGCGGTGCAGCGGCAGCTGCAGCTGCAGGAGTCGATGATGCGGCAGCTGGTGAAGGAGATCCAGGAGTACCTGAGCCGCGCGTTCAACTGGGACGAGAACCAGTCGGCCGCCTACACCCGCGTGAACGAAATGATGGACATGATCACCAACAGGATGACCACGGCCCTCGACGGAGCCAACGAGCTGATGGCCACCAGCGAGGCCATGGACCCCGAGACGCTGCCGCGGGCCACGCGGAAGTACATGAAGGAAGTCCGCGTGCAAGACGTGGTGGTGGACTCGCTGTGGGCTTCTCTGCGCGGAGTCCAAACTAGCGCCTGGATGAACGGAGTCACTGCTGTTGAGAAGGAGGAAACTGCCCCCCTGGCGGGCCGCGCGGCCGAGGAGTTCCTCCACAGAATGTACCACAACTTGCGGGCCGCGGGGATGGCTGAGGAAGACATCAGCCGCTTCATGCCCAAGACCGAGTACGCCGCCCCCCGCGAACAGCCCCGCAACATGGGCCGCAAGGGCCGCTACGGCTACAGCTACGGCTATCCTTACTACAGCTACGGCTACAGCTATCCTTACTACAGCTACGGCTACAGCTATCCTTACTACAGCTACAGCTACCCGTACTACAGCTACAGCAGCTACCGCTACCCCGCGTACAGCTACGGCTACCCGCTGTACAGCTACAGCAGCTACAGCTACCCCGCCTACAGCTACAGCTACCCCTACTACTCCTCCAGCTGGTACTGGCGCCGCCTGCGGCCCGCCGCCTGCCCCGACTGCCCCCCCCCGGCCCCC